ATGATTTCAGCCGCAATTGCGTCCTTTGTAAACCACACTATCACTAACCCCCTATGGTTCGTCAAGACTCGACTCCAGTTGGACCACAGAGAAGCAAGACGGGTCAGCGCTTTCCAAATTGTCCGGGATGCGTATAGCACCGAAGGGATACGAGCTTTTTATCGAGGACTTTCTGCGTCATATGTGGGAATTTCTGAAACAGTCGTTCACTTTACGATCTACGAGAAAGTAAAAGCAAGACTGATTAAACTTCAGCGAAAGACTAAGGAAGATTTTAATGTTTTTGAGTGCATGCTCGCCGCCGGAGTTTCAAAATCTATTGCGGCAAGTCTTTGCTATCCTCATGAAGTCGCACGCACCCGGCTTCGTCAACAAGACAGCGAATTTCTTGGCAAACACAAGTACAGATCGTTTCTCCAAACTCTGAGAACTGTTTTGAAAGAAGAGGGATGGAGGGGATTATATGGCGGTTTAGGAACTCACTTACTACGTCAAGTTCCTAACACAGCGATTATGTTTTTCACTTATGAGGGTGTAGTGCATCTCTTGGAATCTGGAAACGCGTAAAAATTTCTTCAATAGTTTCAGCTTTAAGCTTGTTAATAATCAATCACTGCCGATCGTACTGAGACTTTTATAGCGTGGGCCATTTAACAGGGTAATTTAAAACACGAATAATTTTCCATCCAATTGGCAGAAGAAATCAAAGTAGTAATTAGCTCAAAAAGGGAAGTACGGTTATTTTGCTTTACATTGGGTTGCTGCTAAAACTCTTTCTTGTTGTTTCTTCATCTTTATTTTTTTTTTTGATTCTTCTCTAGTTCTATAGGCACACTTCAGCAAGTTCTTTGTAATGGAAATTTTTTTTGCATGTTTAAAGTATATGAGGTTGTTGTTAGGGTTGAATGGTTGCCACTGGTCCCTGTAGGTGCTGTTACCATCAACATTGACAAATTTCACTGGGAAGCAAATGTAGCACTCACTTTTCAGGAATGGCAGTTGGATTATACTGAGTGACTTATTTTGACAAAGTCCTTTTTGTCTCATTTGGTAACACAAATGTTGCTGGATTATTCTGCATGACAAGAAAAAACATATAAACAAACATCAAACTCATTAAATATGGTAATCAACATTTCTTTGGGCTGTTTTAATTGGAAGGGAAAAAACCCTTTCAGTTATTCAGTGGTTTCAGTGGTCATTTTAACCAGTTTTTTCCTGCCCGTGGTAATTAAGCACCCTTTATAGTACTTGCCAACTTTTTCATTAAAAAAAAAAAAAATTGGGGATTTTTATCCCTATCCTCTACTGCAAGTGTTCCCATATACTGGAGGGATGGGGGGTACTTCCAGAAAAATTGGGTGGGGGTGTGCGGCACACTTCCTGAAACCCTTACCCTATTTCAGACCGAAATCTGTGATTTTCCCTACCCTATTTCAGAGCTGACCATTAAATCAATACCCTATTTCAGACCTGCCTTGGTCAGACCAATGTTAAAGGCAATGTTTATACGCTTTTATTAAGTAGGATGCAAAACTGTAGAAAGGTTTGAGCTTAAAATTCCACACCATAAAGCAGGTTGCATAATGCACTGTTATAAATACAGAATAGAGTACACAAACCATACCCTATTTCAGACCATAATGTTCAAAATAATATCAATACCCTATTTCAGACCAAAACGACTTACAAACCATACCCTTTGGCACTGCACATATCTATATAGCCTATGTAAGGGAGTAGCCCCCCCCCCCAGGTCCCACACAGGCATAAAAAAGTGCTCTTGCCTGCACAAAACCACTTTCTTCATAAGCTGTAAGATTTTTGCTGTTGTTCTCAATGTTTCTGAACATTGTCAAAGATGTTTAAAGAAATAATGTTCCCGTAACATGTGAAAGCTGTGGAAAATGTTGCATTTGAAAAAAGGCGAGAAAATCTAAAGAGAAAGTTATTTATTAACGGAGTCCAATAGACTGACTTTTGGCACAAACATTTGGGATTTTGTATTTGAAACATGGGCAAATCAACTGGTACTGTAGTCGGAAATTAAAACACAAGAGTTTTATCTAATCAATAACTTGAGAGATTTATATTATTGTTCTGAAACTTGAATGTGAGATTTGTACATTAATTGATCGGAGTCAGCAGCTATAATGTAGTGTTATTAAAATAATTGTTTTTCTTTGAGGATGTCCATAGATCTTGAATATTTATTTATTCATAGTTACTAAGAAAATATAAAAACCACATAATGTGGATAGGTTTTACCATAATTTTTTTTGTTATTTTCACATTGAAAGTGTTGTTTATATTTTTGTTGTTGTTGAGTTAATGTGCAAGTCAAAATTGATTCTGATGGATTTAATAGTGGACTTGCCAGTCACAATAAAAGCTGAACAATTAAAACTTCCAAACCATTTCTCTTGTAGTTTTTTCACACCTTATTGAAATGTGTAAAAAAATATTTGCTTAAAAGCTTGATAAAAGTAATATTTTGTGTACTAAATTAAGCATTTACAGAGGGAGATTTGAGATGTCCAAGGTGGAGAGTATTTTGAAAGTGGGTTTTGTACTTGTGTCAAACACAGAGGTCTTTTTAAGCCTCTTCCAGGTATTCAATAAGTGACAAAAAAATAGTCCATTTTTAAGTGGCTACTAGCTACCATTTGGATATATTTCATGACTCAGAGGCAATGGTTCTTTCTGTAGGTACTGAGGCACAGATTACGTACAACAAAAGAAACAATATAACCAAACAATAAAGTCCTCAAGAGAAAGAGCTTTATTGTTTGAATTCTTTGATTCTTTGGTACCTGCAGAAAGACCTGAGGCTTATATGCAAGTAAGGGGATATTTTGAGAAAAATTTTTGAGGGATAATCATGAGTTTTGGCATGAGTCATGCAGTTCAAGGTACCAGGGTCAGGGAGGGGTGGGTGGGTAGCAATGCATAGCAATAGGTCAATACTTTAAGTGTTTAATAATAAACAGACTAAAATTTGTAAATGTGTTGTTTTGTCTTTCTATCATTTTCTTGTATATCCTGAACTTTGTAACTCTGCAGATACTGATTGCTTGTTGTTAGCCAATCGGCAGGATTGAACATTGCTCTGGAGATGAGAGTGAGGAATCACTTTTTTCTGGCTGTGTATAAAAGTGGGATGGGGACAAGGGGATGGGGACATCGGGACTTGTGTGTGGGGACTTGGGACTTAAAGCAGCGAGACGAGGGACTTGGGGACATCAAGTATGGGATGCGGGTACGGGTGGGACAGGGAGGCAGGGACGTGAAATACAGGGACGCAGGAGACGCAGGATGTGAATGTTTATCGCAAAAGTCGGAGGTAAATGGGATATCTCTTTCTTTGTGAAAATGTGTTATTTATGGTCCATCTTCCAAAACCACGTTGGACACCTTATGATGTTTACACAAAATATTTCTTTATGATAGGAGTAAACGCACTGACTATCGTGATTAGGGTTAGGGTTGATTTCAACTGTCACGTAATTTTTCCATGTGTACGTGCGTAAAATTTACGTTTGTAATTAAAATAGAGGCAATTTATGAAAGGTAGCACGTAAGCGTAAAAGTAGAATCTCGCTCAACTTCAAGTTTAACCTCAACAATTTATATCTTGCCTCTATCTTATTTACGTGATTAAAATGTATTTGCGTTAATGTGCATAGCCAAAAACTCGTCAGTAGAAATCAACCAATCTACATAATTTTTGGCGACCGCAACCCACCCTACCCGGCTTTGGGGTCCAATATTCCATCAGCAAGAAGACCAGGACAACGATTTCACTTTCTTCAGTGCAGGGGGTCTTCGCTGAGTCTTTGCTTCGTAAACAGGTATGGAGGAACCCTAAGGAGGGCAGGGTGGGTTGCCTTCACCAAAACATATTCACGAGGAAATTAAAGTGACTGATATCGCATTTACCTCCAACTTTTGCAATAATGATTCACATCCCGCGTCCACTGCGTCCCTGTATTTTACGTCCCTGCGTCCCCGTCCCTCACGTCCCCGCATCCCATACTTGATGTCCCCAAGTCCCTCGTCTCGCGTCCCCAAGTCCCAAGTCCCCACACACGCGTCCTGATGTCCCCGTCCCCTTGTCCCCGTCCCACTTTTATACACAGCCCTTTTTTCTTCCTCTAGAGTGAACACCGCTCTGCCTTTGCAGGCCACCCCCCATGAAACACATCCAACGTGATCCTCAAATTAGATTTGCTTTCAGGGCACTTTGATCTGTTTTGTTCCACCCGGTTCATTAGTTTCCTAAAAGCTTGAACTGTTTTCTTTGTTTAGGTTGAGAATCACGTGTACTTAGCTATTATCCTCACCTCAGGCTAGCTAAAGCAGTCTTTGCAGTCTTTGTAGCCGTCCGAAAGCCGCACGTACCCCTAGTTCCCCTAGTCATTTCTTCGTCCTGCACGAGAGAGACTGGAACAGTTCGACATTCCCACAATTCTTCCCGCGTTTCCGCCAACATGGCGGACTCCGAGGACGAAGATAGCTCCCTGAATCTTACAGGGTTTTTATTTGGAAATATCAACGAGAAAGGAGAACTAGAAGACACAGAGATATTAGACGAGGTAATGAATGTGTCACTCCAGACTCCTGAATGGATTATAGCTCAAAAAAGATGTGCAGTAATATCAATTTTCTCCATTGTAGCGAGAATGCCGAGAAAAACAATCCGTAAACAACAAGCTATTCAGTTTTCACAGTACCCTTACTAGCAGATTTTCCTTCGATTTTCCTCTTCTAGGAAAGTTAACAGGAACTCTGTCTGCAGGATAAAAAAAAGTTACCATGTTGATGCTAAAGGCAAGAACTTGCAGTGGATCAACTTCCCTTCCATATTAAATACATAGCAAACAGCCAACAAATTACGTGCATGTGGCCAGTTTCCACGTGAACAGTATTTGAGCAGATTTAGGCCTGTTTCAAACATCGTGCTACTGCTGGTCTAAGTTGCCTTCAGCACGACCCTAGCACTACTGTAAGACGACCTGGTTTCAGACGTGGAATTTAACTCAGTCGAATAAAGTAAAACTATGTTGCAGAAAACAAAACTTAAAAAATATTAAGCAATTTAGTGAACTTTGTAAATTTATTCTAATGTATTTATTATTTATAAATTGAGTTCGGCATGGCAGTTGCATGTGCTTCATAGTGCCGTGCTTAAGTCAAATTGAGTTCAGCAGGGCAGTAGCACGACATTTGAAACAGGCCTTAGTGGTCCACTGCTCCATTTGTTGGGACCCCATACAGTGCTGTCAACTCTCCCAGATAATGTGGGAGAACCAGGTTTTGGACCATATCTCCCGGTCTCCAGATTAGAGTATGAAATCTTCTGGATAATTGCTGAACGTTTGCCATTTCTTGTAGACTCGACTTTCCGACAATGGAATTTCAAATATTTTGCATTGTTTAAACTATTATTTTTAATGTTAACGTTGAACGTTTCCTCACANTCCATTTGTTGGGACCCCATACAGTGCTGTCAACTCTCCCAGATAATGTGGGAGAACCAGGTTTTGGACCATATCTCCCGGTCTCCAGATTAGAGTATGAAATCTTCTGGATAATTGCTGAACGTTTGCCATTTCTTGTAGACTCGACTTTCCGACAATGGAATTTCAAATATTTTGCATTGTTTAAACTATTATTTTTAATGTTAACATTGAACGTTTCCTCACAAACTCCGGTATGCTATTTTAATATAACGTTTTTCTCGAACGTTTTGCCTCACCGCAAATATTCGAGACAATCGGAGTCAAAGAGTGTTTTCGCACAAATGACATCATGTGCCGTGCATTATCACGTCATCTATCATCCCTTCCATGTCAACTCTCAATATTTGTAAATGTCAGGGATTGACAGCCCTGCCCATAGTTCCACAACTTTCCCCAAAAGTTACATTTCTGACGATTATTGCAGGCTACTGAATCATATTTGTGAACAACACTAAAGGGAACTCAGCTTTAATTAACACTAGATGTTGCTTTATTTTTAGGAATCCCGGCGTCATCTTGCTCAGCTGAGTTCTCTAAGTGGGCTTGGAAGCCTTGTCCAAGATATTGCAGAAGAAGGAAACTCACAGAGTCAAGACTTCACGCCCCTCAGTGAATCAAATAGCAGTATGTTACAGTTTACTTGCAAAAGATCCTTAGAGTGGTAGAAAAAATCTATAGAGTTGTATTCTAAGTTAAATGATGGTCCTAGAATAAATACCATGATGAATGAGGAAATTGTAAATATCCCCCAGAAAAACGGAATAAAAACCTATTCAAAAAAGTTATGAAGCCAAATAATTTTGATTGAAGCAAATCGTGATTTTACCAGGCTTATAAATGCCAGCAGGTCGTAACCTTTCATCCCTACAATAATGTTTTTTGTCAATTCTTGTTTGTTGCTGCAGCTTTGCATTTGCTATAGAAGTAGTGTGGAGAAATTTTTAAAGTATCAGTTAAATTCATCTTAATTCTCATGACTGCTCTGTTTTATCAAGCACTGATATAAACGAGGGGAAATTCAGTACCGATCACTCTTTGAGAGAAAACAGTACAGCATTACAGTTTATGTATATTGTATTCACTGTTGTGTTCTTTGCTATGAAATGAATCCTTTACACTGGTGTTACTCACTTTGTATTTTTTACCCTACTAAGGTTGGATTCAGAAGGATGCTAGTGCTACAGATTACAGCGATATTAATGAGTTAGCAGAGGAAGATGAGGAGAAGTACTACAAACATGCAGCTGCCACTATATTCTCCCATAAAAAAGTTACCACTTCTGCTGGTGAGAAGTACAGGCTGATTAATCCTCATTTTCTTTTCTTTTTTTTCTTTTTTAAACATCTAGCTTAAGGTGATAGGGCATAGTTTTTCTTTCAGGCTATATTTAATACCATTCTTGCATTAAAAGTATATCTGAATTTAGAGTTACCTTTAATGGAATTGACCATAATATATTTTATTTTTCATTGAACTTAATCTTTCAGATGATGATTATGACTATGACGGTGATGACGCAACTGGCAAAAATGATCAAGGTTTTCCAGTTCTTGCCTTTATACTTGTTTTAAATTAAACCCCAGTGTTCTGTGTAAACAGTGTTACATACTAATTCGATTAGGCTTCCACACATTCCATTAGTTTCATCCAAAGTTGTAGCTGATCTTATTTTTGCTTTGGAATCTTTCTCTTACATTATCAAAATTTGTTAATGTAAGGGAAAGATTCCAAAGCAAAAACAAGATAATATTCCATATTTTGTTATTAACACAATTAATTGGTAACAGGAGTTCATGTCATACGATTCAGCGGTAATCGGGCTCGTAATTTAAAATCGGCCCAGTGTATAAATTACTCGCCCGATTACTCCCTGAATTTGCACTAAGTCCTATTACCGTTACTAATGCTCTAACTTGGCCCATACAACCCAAGTATGTGTTGTAACATTGGCTTTTGTTATACCATGTTAGCAAATGGTAGCATACTCTTACCCACTGTGGCTCCTGCAGCATCCACATTATCCAAAGAAGAACAAGACAGATTGGCGATGCCGCCCCCACCTGCTCCCCAAACATCTGTCTCCCCAGCAGGGGAGGGTGCGGAAGTTACTGCTGATGCGGGTAAAGGCCTGGACACCCCTTTGGCCAATACAATTGGTGCTGGTGAGTTCTGTGCTTTACTATCAGTCATCAGGCAATAATTTTGTTGAAATAATAGTTGGTGGTCATTGTGATAGTGTATCAGTGTAATGTGATCCCTTATTAAAGTTACTGTAGAATATTCGATCACCAATATCTGCTTTAGGCCCGGTTCAGACCCTGATTTTTTCATGAGCCAAACATAATACATTGAATTAAGTACATGAAAAGTTCGGCATCTGGATCGATCAGGAACACCTGTTCAAATTTGGAACGGCTCAGCTTTTCTTTTCGCCTAGCCCAGCCAGGATTTCGCTTTTGAAGTGACTTTGGAACGGCTTTGATTCAGACCCAGAATTTTTCATTTACTGAACCTAATGCATAAATGGTTATAACGTATTTTGCAAGCAGTTTGACCGAAATGAGCATTGTTCACCTTTTGAACTTAGTTCAGCTGCAATTTATTAAGATTGGCATCTGAATCAATTCAGCCGGTCTAAATAATTTGGGTTGGCCTTAATTCGAATTAGGTTCGGCTCATGAAAAGTTCGGCGTCTGAACGGGGCCTTAGTATTATCAGTGTTCTCACCAGAATTTTGTGATTTGTGGCCCAGTGGTCCCAGGCCTTGAAGTTTCTGGGCTATTTAAAACAAATAATAGTTGCTACAGTTCTGCACCCAGTGGCCCTTAAGGACTTTTTAAGTGCGCCACTTCTCTAAAAAGTGTTCGAATCCCGCAATGGCACAGTCTGGTGACAACACTGTGTTATACACCTAATTCCAAAAAAAAGTTGTAAGTATTATAGAATATTTATTTATATATTCATGTATATCTGTATTGTTACTATAATAAGGCCTTATATTAAGGTAAAAGTTCATCTGAGTTCCGCAGATGCAGTAGACAGAAAGAGGGCAAGTAAATTTGCCACCATTTTTGAATATGTGTATGAGGAGGTCAATCAAGTGGTTTTTTGTCATTACATTGTTCGTAGAGTTCAATAACAGTAAATCTTATTTCTTATTGATTGTGTGGAGGCAGTCATTAGTCATGGTTTCAACTGTAATTATGTATTTAAACTTGTGTTTTATTGCTTAAACCTAATTTCACAATGATTATTAGTTTTACTTTTTTCTCTTGCTATATTAACAACTCATTTCTCTCACTGAATTTCAGAGCTGTTAACCAAGGAAGGCAAGCTCACAACTCATGATGGCAAAACAGTTACTGATCTGTTTCCAGAGTTCCGCCCTGGCCAGGTATTGAGGTTTTCACGTCTTTTTGGACCCGCAAAAGCATCATCTTTGCCACAGCAGTGGCGGAATGCCAAGAAAAGAAAGAAAAAGAAAAAGAAACAGGGGGAAGATGAAAATACTGTGATTGAACCTCCTAAGACGCCACCCAGTCCTCGTCCAGAAGACTGTATGTCGGATGATGAGGTGAATAATGTTATTGTTGTTGTCATATCTTTATCTTTAAGAACTTTTTATCTTTATGAAAAGCATAATAATGAACAATTATTGGACGAGGTTGAACAAAATATCGTGATTTGTCTGTGGTGAGCAGGTCAATAATTATTTGCCAAAGCCGAAGGCTGAGGCAAATAATAAATTATTGATCTTCGAGACACTGACAAATCACGATATTAATTTTTGTGATAACCAAGTTCAATAATTGTTTTATCATTCGATCACCGAGTTTGTTTTTTTTAAAGAATATTCTTGGGAAGTAAAGCGATCTGCCATTTTCACGCAAGAGTGATCGCAAGAAGGAGAAAAGCATGGTTTCCTTTACGCATGTGCAGAATATTATTTGTAGCCAAACACAGTTGGACAGCATTGCGCATGAGCAAACCATTATTTGTAGGCAGTTATTTGCAGGTCATGTGGTGGGCTCTTGGCCAATGAAAAAAAAGAGAAATTTGCTTCGAATGATAATAGCAATTATTATTATTTTTATTGTTATTGTTAGAGGGATTTCCATATGACTGTAACAAGCATAAGATTTCTGAAAAAAGGAACCTGAATACTCTGGATTTTTGCCTGTAAATAAGGTCTTCCATTCTCGTTAGAGACTAGCTCTTCGAAAGAATCTCTTGTGACTCCGTTTGTGTGCCACTCACCTGTAGCCTCTCGCAATATATACGGTCCCATGAATGGAGAACCTGCGAATAGATTTCCTGTGTAGATCTTGAACCCACAAGCTTCAATCTGGTCTCCTAACAATGGCGCCAACAACTACTCATTGGAATTGCCCCCAGTCTGTTAGGGAATTTTCATAGAATTATAAAATAACATTCATGTGCCTTCAGTATGTGTTAAATGAGAATAATCTGTCGGCTGTTGATAAACATAAGCACTTGGGCATTTGGATTGAATCTTCTTTAAGGTGGGACGCTCATATCAATTACATTGTTGGTAAGGCAAATCGTGTATTGGGTCTAATAAGGAGAACGTTTGGGTCTAAGGATCCTGTGCCAATCAAAACAGCTTTTATCGCTTTAGTTCGTCCTATTCTGGAATATGCCTGCCCAGTGTGGAATCCATATTTGGTTAAACACATACACAGTATTGAATCCATTCAGCGTCGTGCTACTCAATTGATATGTGGATCTCATAATTCTTACACTGAAAGGCTCACTGAACTAAACTGGTCAACATTGGAGCTAAGAAGAAAATACCTTTGCCTGGTTCAACTTTACAAGATAATTCATGGCTATTCTGATATTGATTATACCACATACATGGATCTGACTGGCCCGACAAGAACTAGAAGAAACCATGACTTTAAAATCAGGCCTAGAGCAGCAAGGACAAACTATTTTAAATTTTCATTTTTTAATCGTTATGTTAATGACTGGAACTCTTTACCAAACTCCGTTATGTCTGCTTCTATTATTCTCTATTACTTAATTATCTTTGTAAATAGTCATATCTTTATTATTTCCTACTGAATCTGGATTTTCTTCTTTATTTAATATCTAAGTATTAGTATTTTATCTAAGTATTAGTATTTTATTTAATATCTAAGTAGTTTATTAAAGAAAAGGGGAAGGGGAAAGGGAAAAACAAAAACAAAAACAAAACAACTAAATTTTGTTTTTTTTGTTTGTTTGTTTGTTTTTTTCTCTTAGTATCACATGATGTATAGATATGTATAAGTTTTCTATTCTTAATTGTTTTATCTTTTCGTTTTGGAGGGCAGTTTTTATATGGGAATTCAGTTTCCCCCTACTGCTTTCCTTTACCTATTGTACTTTTATATATGTATATATATTTTTATTTTGTACATTGGTAAAAAGAATTATTAAACTTAAACTTAAACTTAAACTTTTCTAGGACAAGCTGATGGCCCCATGGGAGCCAGCAACTGATGAACTAAGGGACATCAATGGTGACTGGAATGGTAGTGGTGTTACAGATGTTCTCAGTAAAGAAATCTGTCAGTGGAGGCATGGCCCAGCTGCACTGTGGTATGAAATGCTTGGGGTGAATGAAGATGGAACAAACTTAGACTATGGATTTAAACTCGAAGAGGTGAGAATGGAGATAATGTTTCTCAATGGAGTTATTTTAGATCTTTCCTGCATCCAACACCACTGAGTACACCAGCGTGCAAAGAAAGTTGTGTCCGATAGCACGGGGCTAGTGGATTTTGCTATTGGGCGAGTGATTTTTGTTCTTAACTTGCCAGATGGGTAAGTGCTGTTTTTTTGGGAAAATTCAAATTACAGAAGGATTGTAATCAATCCTGCTAATCAAAAAGGATTCTGGGGCTAGCTGAAATGACTTGTGGGCTAGTACATGCTAGCTACAGCTTGCCCAAATGGTAGGCTTTAAAACTGACTTTCTTTGCACCCTGTACACGCAATGATGTAAGTCACAAATCAAGCTACCTGGTATTCTTTTTTGTTACTTCGAAACATCAAATTGGTGCCTTTGTTCACAGTCTATTGCATGAAGAAGTAATTTTCTTTGGTAAAGGTCACTGATACGTGATTTTTAACTTGGAAGCTGGTTCAAAGCAGAGTTTACAAACTTACAGTAGTTGCTTTTTAATTTCATTTGTAGAAGCCAGAAGATGAAGAAGATGGTACACCAAGTCCTAAATCCCCTGTCTCCCTGCCTGCTGAAGACTGCTTTGAAATGGTATCACAGGTCAACTGGGAGGAGGACATTATTTGGTCGCTTGATAGCGTGAAGCCAAACCTCCAAGCACAAGCAAGGGCTGGATGGATACCTACTGCAACTACACGCACAGCGCATGCTTATGCCCTGCAACAGGAACAGCTTTTGCAACAACTGGGTATGATAAGTTGAATATATTGCACCATGGCAGCATGAACAAACATTTATTGCTTATATTGCATGGTAGAACTTATCCGGTCCCTTTGAAGGTTCTTTATAGTTTTATTGTGGGATATCGACCCTGATAAAATACTGAGAAGAAGAATGTCAAAGGTGTATTCACAAGTCGGGCCAAAAATAATGGAAATTAAGGTTGCGGAAATTAATGCTGCAATATTAATCTATGACACGGAAATTAACGTTAACAAAAACTAACGAGACTTAAATTAACGTGAATCTTTGAAATTTGCATTAATTTCAGGAAGCATTAATTTCCTGTAATAAGGTATTCAAGGTCAAGTGCAATGAAGGGTTAAACACCAGTAAGCTTTCATTTTGAAGTATTGCATAATAATAATGCCAAAAATTATGGAGCTGCAGCTCTAATTGTCCATGTTCGATATATTAAAATTCTAACATAACTCCAAGGCTTTCTGGTCAAGTCTCCTATGGGAATTGTGAGACAATGGAGTTGTGAAAAATTTGCAATTTTGACCCTAAAGCCTAGGAGTCATCTTAGAATTTTAATATATCAAACATGGGCTATTAGTTATCTTTTTTTTTGGTTACTTACATACACTGTAGGTGTGCGACATCCAGGGATAGAGACGTTTCTGAAAAACACCACATCTGCAATTAAAGCAAATCTGAATTTTCAGAATCAGAAAACAAAAACAGGAATGCCTGGAGAGGAAAAGACAGTAGAGGAATCTGCAACATGGTATTCAATTTTCCCAGTGGAAAATACTGATCTTGTTTATGGTAACTGGGAGGATAAAATCATATGGGACTCAGAGGTATTAAATATTTCAATAATATTATTGTATACATTTGATTCAAAAATAAATCTGACTGATAAGAAGGAAATAATAGATAGGCTTACATTTTAGTTTCTCCCATCAATAAGATTTTAAGTTCAACAGAAGGGCAAATGACTCATACCTTCTGGTAGCCTGGTGATGCATATATACATACATAAACTTTTGTTTTACCTCAAATTTAAGGGTAGTTAACGAGCTAATATCTTTTAAGAAAAATTCCATAATTTCTGGAAATTTTTCCAAATATACTTGAATGTTGTTGATAGACTTCATGAATATTGCTTTTCATAAAACTTTTTTTTCTCTAAGATTTCCAACAATTAATTATCCCAGGATGTTTTCATTATGACAGCATTTAAACCAACAACAATTTGATATCTTGAGATGAATCACAATTTAATTTTTTTAGTAGAAATCTTCACTTCAAATTCCATTGTTACTTACAAGAGCTGTATATGTTTTTGTTCCAGAACATGTCATCAATACCATCTCCTACCATCATGCAGCTAGATCCAAATGATGAAAACATAATTCTGAGTATTCCTGAAGACTCTGGGCCACTAGCAAAGGACAGTGCTTTAACGCTTACTCCAAAAAAGGTGTTTAATAAGGAATACAAAATAGTACTATTGTTGTTGTTGTTGTGTTAATAGTACATGTAGGAAACATTTCTTCATTTTGTAACCATTGAGAAAGAGTAGTTGTAAAAAAAAATATGTTAGTAGTAACTTGGCAGCACACAGCTGGATAAAAATACCTCTTGAGTCTGTTGAATGTGACATCAATGATAAAATATTGTTTTACACCTTCTAGGAAACTAAGAAATCTAAACTTTTGCTTGGAAAGAACAACTCTAAAGAGGATGGTGATGGGGGAGAAAAGAAGTCCCAAGACCAACAAAAAGACAAGTTTAATCTATCAAATGATGAGTACTACTGTGCTAAGAACTGTAAGTATAATGTTGTGAAGCTGTAGTGTCATATGTAGTGCATTGCAAGCAGAGGTTTCTTTCAATTATGAATTTTAGCTCGTGCAGATTTGTTTATGAGGGGAGAGCGACATGAAAGACTCCGCCAATGCTAAAGGCTGGAAAGAAATCGCTGCTTGTAGGGGGTGTAAACAAGCCAATTAGGTAAATGACAGCGATGTGAACAACTCTGCACATGCTAAAAGCCATGCCTGTAAGAAACCCCTGCTTGTAGGTTACATTTGTGCATGATTTTCTGAAGATTTTCAAAGATGTTGCAATAATAAATTGCAGTAAAGTTTCTGTGACGTTTACTTTCTCAGGTGCAAAAACCACAACCAACAGTTCATTAAAAACATATAACAACTGAATTTTGTTCTCTTTGCAGCTTCAGAATCTTCTCTGGATACCAGTGGAGGATCTAACCTCGTACAGGTAAGTTATATGGTTGAATTTTAAGATAAAAACACCTTTTCAGCTAGACTATTGAATTGCCATTCAAATTTACTAAAAAATGTTTTCCACCCACCATACATTCATTGGTTTCAGAAGTTTGCACAAAGTAATAAATTGACATTTTCTTCCCTGTTTTTTTAATGTATATAATTCACGGTTTTATGATATACTTTTTATTTTTCTCTCTTTTAATTTTTTTTAAATTTATTTTCTTTTTGATTTTTGCTTGTCATTCCTATTTTGTTTTTCTTTCCATTGCTCTAGGAAAAATTTTGCAATGACAATATTGAAAATTATAATGCAGGTTTAAAAGAGGTTGCATGCGAAAGAAAGACAAGTTAAGGTTTTTAATCAAATTCGGCGGCCAAATTAGTAACATTCGCCAAGTTCAAGGGACTGGCAGCATTACAAGAGGTACCTAGATCATGGTTTTACAAGGGCAGTTTAGCCTTTTTTTTAGCTGCCATTGAGTAAATACTCCATAATGATTGATTTCCAAGTATTTTTCACAATAATTTTTTCCTCCCTCAGCATTCTTTACCTGCAATAGAACTTCAACGGCCTTACTTTCCGACCTACATGTCTGTCCTTGACCTGCGCAATTTTCATCGCCCCCTTCTTCAACGTATTAGTCATGGGACATTGTCTAAACCAGGCAGACATGCTGTTCATGGGCTACTTAAGCACATAAAGAAGAAAGCAAGGGTAAGATACTCTTTTCACACATAATTTCTAGTTTGACTAATGTTCTCATTGACATTTCTATTATCTGTTACGCTGCTGATTACAGATCACATGTGCTCAAAAAACTTTCTTATTCAGTTTTCCATTATTCTGGTTGTTTGTTTTAGTGCCCTCATTACAAATAGTTGTTTTTTTCTTTACTTTAGCATGTTTTTCCTTTTTGCTTTGCAGTCAAACCAATAAAACCGTGAACACTAGAAATATATTTCTGAAATAATAATTTGTTGCAAGGAAAGAGCCAATCGGGCGGAAGAAAACTAAACCGCAAGCAACAACATCAATTATATAATAAGTTTGTGGTTTTGTGGCTAGCGCACTTGTCTTGATCTTTGCTGTGATTGGTCGTAACACAAAAAACATTACTGGAATGTTTTAATTACTAATGGTTTTGTGTGTTGCACTGTATTAGTGAAAGAGAAAATTGGCATTTTCTCCAAATTCAACCCTCCTAATACAAACACTCTGTTGATATGGACAATTTCTATGTCCCCCCCCGTCCACCCATCCAGTGTTCATATTAACGGGGTTTAACTGTATTATTTTTCTGACAGATCAGTTTATATTAATTTGCAGGAACGTGAGAAAGAACGGTTAGCATCAGGGGGAGGTGAGATGTTTTTTATGCGGACACCCGCTGATGTGACGGGGAGTGATGGCAGCCTTGTGTTATTTGAATACTGCGAGGAGTATCCACCTGTCATCATGGCAGTGGGAATGAATGCTAAAGTGCGGAACTATTACAAGAGGGTGAGTGGCAGCTTGGCTAGCACTTTTTGCCAGATGTGTTGTACATATATTAGCATTTCTGTGTGAGTGTTTGTGTGTCAGTGATAAGACTAAATTCGTGAGAATCCCATCTGATTAGAAGTATTATGATGGTTTTAACTCCATTATAACACTTTATAGAAAAAGAATTCAAGTAACTGTGATTCGTTAGGGCAAAATTCTGTATTTTTTACTATCCAATGTTGCATATGTTTTCAAATTTTAAAGTTAGTCAGGAAAATGTTATCGTATCATCCTTCAGTGTTCCAAGAGAAAATTGATGTACTTAAAGGAATACCCACAATGACTTCTCCACAAAGTTCAAACCAAGTACTTATCAAAATTTCCAAGTTGGATGATTCCTATGTGACATGTTTTAGTTGAAAAAAGACTGCAATCACAGACGGACATGCTCAAAAGATTTTCTCATAACTGCGAGTGACTGACTGACTGACTTTGGGCTGACTGTGCATCTAACAGACGTCTTTATTAACTGTTGCCTTTAGAAACCTGGCAAGGATGAAAGTATGCCAGCATATGAATATGGTGAACCAGTTCCAGTTCATCAGACATCACCATTTCTTGGGCAGCTATCTCCAGGAGAATTGCTACAGGTTGGTCTCCCAACAAATTCTCCTCTGAAGTACATTCGACTCTCTCTTAATGGACACCTCGGTAAAAAGGACACCCAGAGTTGGTCCCTGCCTTTTTATACTCCCTTTATTTGACTCTCTCTAAGACGGACACCTCTGTAAAACGGACACCTAGAGTTGGTCCCTGCCTTTCTTTACTCCCTTTATTTGACTCTCTATAAGACAGATATCTTTCTAAGATGGACACTTCAAGCTGGTCCCAAAGGTGTCTGTCGTAGAGAAAGTTGGCTTTATAACACTACCTTTTAGTCTCAGTTAATCCCTGTTCACGGAAGCAAGCTCTTTCCTTCTAATGTAATTTGCCGAGTTTGTGCAGGAGTGGCAAGCAAGGGTCCCTAAGAGCCTGCTACTGGTTAATTTCACCTGCTGAAAAAGACCCTCAGATTGCCAAGGAAAACAAAAAAGAGGGGAAATTTTGAAGGTGTAGTTGGGTAAATGAGACGGCTTCACTAATAAATTAGTTTGCTTAGCTTTTCCTCAGCTACATCCCTGGGGTGGGGCTGGGGTGAAACCTCTCACGTCCCATCCATGTTCCAGTATTTTTTCCTCTTGAGTTTGTGCCCCAAAAAAGTGAGTGCCCCCAAGGCCAAAAGCTTGCACTTGGAAATGTGTTATCAAAATGAGGAAAAATTGACTCTGGAAAAAAAAAAGAGAACTACATTTTGTCTGAATGAAGTGACAGGCATTAGAAAAAGTGCTAAAGGTTTCTGTTTTATTAATCATCGTGGGGTTTTTATTTCTGTTTAAGGCTTTGGAGAGTAACTTGTTCCGAGCTCCCATTTACCAGCATGAGTTACCAGAGACTGATTTTCTGATCATTAGAACTTCCTCTGGGTATGTAGACATGCTTCATTATGTTACTGAATCAATATGAAAGGTTTCTAATTAAATCTTGTCAGGCAATTTTATGCATTCATCACATTACTTTGCTTGAAGTAGTTTTTTAGCTTTAAAAAAACATGTTAACACTTAGAGGAAGGTAACAAAGTTCAATGTGATTTCGTTAATAATAAAAAGGTATATTTTTATGTCAGTTGATCTACAAATCTGTAGGGCTGATTACATGTTTTTTTTTTCATTATTATTATGTAGGTATTACATTCGTGATGTGAAGACGATATTTACTGTTGGACAGGAATGTCCCAAATTTGAAGTTCCAGGCCCTAACTCCAAAAAAGCCAATATTCATGCCAGGGACTTTCTGCAGGTTTGTGTCTCGAAGTTTAAATCTGCGTTTCCTTTTTTAACTTAACGCCTGAATTTTGTTTTTTGGCTGGCAGTAGATCATCAAGGGCCTTACAAAACGTTTTCTTTATTAACCATGTTTAAAATAAATAACACCGAGAGGTTTCATGAAGGAATAAAATTATGAAGTGGTTTTATTTTTCCCTTAGATTTTTATTTACCGTCTGTTCTGGAAAAGCCCTGATACACCCAGAAGAATCAAAATGGATGACATTAAGAGAGCCTTCCCTATGCACTCGGAAAGCAGCATCAGAAAACGGCTCAAGCTCTGTGCTGATTTCAAGAGAACAGGTTGGTTAACCCTTTCACTGCCAGAGTGTTTGATGGAGTTTTGTAAGGTGACTCTAACTTTTGAGTCTGTGGACGAAATCTCATAATGTGACCATTCAAATGAAAGCTCTCTCCCTGTACTGTCACATTCTGCTATTTGTTTGTCAAAAGTTTAGAAAATGAAATTTGGAAATTTGGTCGAAATTTGCCTTTGGCCACATTTGGCAGTGAAAGGGTTAATAGTCGCTACTCTGCCGGTCTTGTTCCTTCCCTAGAAGAGACGGATCATTAAACGTTTCTAGGAATTTGCCCACCTACCCCTCCCCTAAGCAAACATTAACACTTACTTCTCATTTAGGGCAAAATATTGGCTTAGGGGAGGGGTAGGAAACGTATAATTTCCGGGGAAGGGGCACGGGCACATTTCCCGAACAGGGCTGCTAATTGAGCCTAGTCGGTAAAATGCGATTTTCATAGTGCACATATCGAGAGCGTGGTAGAAATATGTTGAGTGGATCAATCATGACTGACCAATCCAGAGTAAAAAATTTTTAAACTGTTTTTACTGAGTAGTTGTATAGTATACCATGCTATCCAAATATGGTAACTGTACGCTTCTGCTCAAAATTAAAAACAAGCTGAAAATCGGTTGTATTTACAAATAAAGTCGGGAAGAATTCTTTATATATTTTGTGGGCGTTTTTAATAAAACAATTATTCCACTCGCACTTGTTGGATATGAGATGATTAAAGCCAAATCGGCGCTACGCGCCTCATTGGCTCGCTACCATCTCATATCCAACGCGCACTCATGGAATAATTGTTAATTATTATGAATACGTTGCAATGGCGTATATGCAGTGGGATGACCAAACAGTTAACAAGTGATTAATAATTTCAGATTCAGACTCAGATTCAGACAGTATGGAGTTCAGTGAGTATAGTGTAGTCTGTTATAGTGTAGTATAGAGGACACCCACGCGGTGAAACAGCTTAACTTAGTATAATAATGTTGTAGTGTAGAATAGTGAAGTATAGTCTAACACAGCATAGTGCTATCAGTAACAGGTTAGATACACAGAGTTCGTACAGGTCATGAAAAACCTAGAAAGTTATGAACTTGAACAGTTTCATTTTTCAGGCCTGGAAAGTCATGGAATTTAGTTGGCGGTCATGGAAAATTAAAGTTATGTTAGTGCAGATGTTGTACCAAGGGCAATGTAAGATAGAGACGAGTAATTGAACGGCACGGATTTTAGTGGACACCAGAGTTTGTGTCTTTGAACCGAATTACGTTGAAAAATACCCTTAAAAAGGAAAGTTTAAAATATTCCGGTGAAAGTAACAGCTAACCTAACAGCTAACCTAACAGCTAACCCTAAGGTAATAGAAACCGTGAAAAGTTTTTGGAGAAAGTCATGCAAAGTCGTGGAATCTGAAGAGTTCCAACCTAACACAGAGGTCATAGCCAACTGATTGTAGGTTCCTACCTGGCTTTTTTTTGGGTGCTGGGTTTCTACCATTTTGTGGGTGTTTTTTTATAAATCACTTAATTAAGCGATCCTGGTTAACGGACAAGTGCAAAACTCAAACCGAATCCCCCACCCCCCTTTCAGGCAACAGGGTTAGGAGGCGTAATCTAATGGCTGCTAGTGTCCTTCATTGAGGTGGAAGTTTTGATCCGCTTCTTCTGTTCGGAGATTTTAGAGACAGAGGCGCACGGCTTCAGGTTCTAACGGACCTTATTCACGATACCGGCCATTTTTGCACGGGCAAACAAGGGAGGGGTGCAAACAACTTATAAAAGCTATTAATGCAAGTCATGGCGTTCGAATTTTTTCTCTTGATAATAGAGAGTTAAAAACTTGAAATGTTTAACATAATCACAGCAAAATCTGAGTGGATTTGATAATAATATTGCGTCTCTCTTTGGAAGCATCATTAACGATCGTAGATATCTTAACAATTTAGCAATAATAACCTAAAAATTACTTGATTTGTACATTTTGGATGTACATTCCTCTTGTGAGGGAACAACAAACTCGGCTGCGTCCACTTGAAGCTTTTTTCAGTTGTTCTTTCCCCTGAGAAACCATGCGACCCTGTTTACATTCTATCAATCCTTACGGGCGTGCAAGGATGGCGGATGCCGTGAGTAAGTTGTGACTGGCTAAAATAACTAACTTGTCATTAATATCCGCCACTAACTGGGAAAAACGTTTACCACGTTGCAGGTACTGATTGTAACTGGTGGGTACTAAAGAGTGAGTTCCGTTTGCCCACTGAGGAAGAGATGCGAGCGCTGGTGTCTCCTGAGCAGTGCTGTGCATATTACAGTATGCTGGCTGCAGAACAGAGACTCAAGGTAACGCTGCGCACGCGTTGTTACCACGGGCGTTGCTAGGGAGCTTAAGGAACGTCGACGGCAACGAGGTTGGCGAAAAAAAAAGAGGTTAAGATCAGCAAAAAAAAAAATCAATTTTGCACCTGCATCACTCTTTTTTGTACATTTCTTTGTTGTCATTGCAGGATTACAACGTGAAACCTCCTAATTTTACGGTTTGTGGAGGACATGAATGTACGACAACGATTTTCTTTTCTTTTTTATAAACTTAGATACAGTCTTTAACAGCTGAATTCTGGAAAAAAATCGCCAACAATTGAAAAATTAAAACAGTGGGAATAAGAGCGATGACGTTTGAAACAGTTCGCATCCACTTTTTTGGTGAAGACTTTTGCTGCCGTTGCCGTCGAGGTTGGCTCTTGTTTTTTTGTTTGTTTGTTTCCTTCTCGTCAGTTGTCAGTTGTTGGCGATTGGCATAAATTCTATGCTTATTTTTTTGTTAGTTATTTTCACGAACAACTTGTTTCTGTTCTGTGTTAACAGGATGCTGGGTATGGAGAGAAGTCTCTTTTCTCATGTGATGACGACAACGATGATTCAGAAAGCAAAAATATAGATGATGAGGTAAGGACAATTCATCTCTTTTGATTTGATTTTAAAATTTCTTTCTTTCTCCTTAAAAACCTGATGTTTATTGTTGTTTCGTCTTCTAGGTTCGCACAGCGCCATGGAACACCACACGAGCATTTATTTCTGCAATGAAAGGAAAATGTCAGCTGGCTGTGACAGGATCTGCGGACCCCACCGGATGTGGGGAGGGTTTTTCGTACGTCCGGGTCCCCAACAAGCCCATGGCAAACAAGGTATCAATTAGGCTACCATTTAAAAAATACACCTCTGAGCTCGCATCTTTTGTTTCCCAATCTTGGTCATGTAATATTCTCAAGAGAATTCTTCGTGGATTTATATTGGCAGAAGCTTGCTTTACGCTTGTTTTATTGGCTTCAATTGTTAAGACTGGCTCAATAAAGCACAAACGGTAAAGACAAAATAACTACTAATCAAACTCATCTCAGAATGACAAGTTCTGGTTTCTTAACCGTCTGTTGTAAAACTGTAACCTGCTCCGCTGACCAATCACAACGCGCGCAGAAAATAAAATGTGCCAATCATATCTCAACTTCATGTAGCCAGTTTTTTAGGCGGGAAAACGCTGGCTTTTGTTTTACCACTGATTAATTGAAAAAGTGGCGCGAGTTTTTTCTGCCAATCAAAGAGCGTATAAGACTTTTGTCCCTCAATATGTCTTTCAGAATAACTATGGCCTCTTTTCTCAAACGACTTTCTTTGTGCTTTCTCATTGCTCAAAAACTCCTGGTCGTTCATGTTTTAGCTGTTATTATTTTGTGTGTCTAGGATGATTCAGCAACGAACTCGCCGCAAATAAAAAAACAGAAGACAGTAACAGGAACCGACGCTGATCTGAGAAGATTGTCTCTTAAACAAGCCAGACAGGTGCTGCGAAACTTCCGAGTTTCTGACGAAGAGGTAATGGGTTTTCCTGATCTGTAATTCATAAACTGGAGCAAGTGTTGGTTCTAGCTGATTAGCTTGCTTCCCCTTTTCTCTGCAACCATAAAAGCGGCATTATCTGTTGTCTCTGTGCAGATCCGCAAGCTATCCAGATGGGAGGTTATTCACGTCGTGCGTACTATGTCCACGGAAGCGGCTAAGTCTGGAGAAGAAGGTAAAGCAATGTTGTTGTTGTTGCCGAAGTTGTACCTGGACTCGTCTTCTATGCAGCCGTCATTTGGTCCGTAACGCAACGTTCCTCTTATTTCAGGTGGAGAGCACTGCGTGATGACCTAAAGAGGGAGCTTAACAGCGAGGACGGCGACGGCCACGAAAACATCAATTAAAAAGTGAATTCGCACTGCTTCAAACTTGATCGCGCTTATTCCATCTTGTTCAATTTGTCAAATGTTGGCAATTTTTTTCTGGAGGTGAATTCGAAAAGACTGTATCGAAGTTCAGGAAAAGACAGAGAAAGTCGTTATCTAGTGTCCTCCACAAAATGTGAAAGTTTAAAAGTATTTTCACGTCATGTGGCGCAGTGATGGCAAAGAAATGAACAAAAAGCGTGATAAACGTGCAAAGTTGTTGTTTGCCGATCTAAACCTATTGCATTTTTCCGTTCTCGTTGACGTCGCTGTCATCGATGTTTAAGCTCCCTAATGACGACTTCGTAGTAGACGATACTTAATATGTTTACGTACTTATACGATTGTGTGATGTACAAGAAATGCTCTAAGTTTTGATGAACAATTTTAGGTATGAGCAAGTTCGCCAGAGGATCAAGATTCACCATTGCGGAGCACCAAGAACGCTATAAAGAAGAATGCCAGAGGATATTTGACTTACAAAACAAGTAAAAACATTTGATTTTTACCTTCAATATAAGTTTTACGCCCTAGGGAACTATTCCTTTGAAAGCTACTTACTGATCAGTACTTTCCTGTGTTCCAGTTTGTTATGCTGTATAAGGTGGTGTTAGCTTTGGGGTCTTGCGAAATACATTATTACTTGTAACCTTTAAAATAAGACTCATTTATTAATATTCATTAATTATTACTATTCATCAGTTATTGATATGTACTATTAACATTAATTGTTATTAGTATAAGTACATTAACGGTTTATTTTTTAAAAAGTTAATGCCCTCAATTAATATTGTTTCAATTTAAAGGTGTTCTTTTGTGAGGAAGTGCTGTGTGCAGGTAAAACTGTCGCCAACTGCTTTTCTTTCTTCCTGTTCAGAGTTTTGTCATCGACTGAAGTCCTGTCTACAGATGAAGAGAGCAGCAGTGACGAGGGAAGCGATATTGATGAGCTGGGTAAAAACTTGGAGAGTATGTTAGCAAACAAGAAAACAAGTATGCAGGTCAGTTTACAACTTCTCTGAACTATCTACCATTTAATATGTGTGATGCGGCTGAGGAGAATGTATTTCCACGTTCGTTGGTCTTGAATAGATGATTATGTCAACTCTTTTTGACGACAAGATCTTCGATCATCCTCTTTCAATTTGTCTGTTTTCGCTGTTTTATTTAATGATAGCCTTCTGTCAAGTCATGCATTTTTTCTGAGATCGGTGGTCGGAAGAGTAAAGCAATTAACTCATATTCGTAAACATTCTACCACAAGCAAAATAGACGAGGCCCACTTTAGAAATGAAGTTATTTCTCTTATACATTTTCATTTATTTAAAAGATCTGAAGTTTTTCTTATTTATTCGCTAAATTTTGTTGGTTTTAGCTGACTCACGAGGAAGAAGAAGCCGAAAGAAGAGAACTTCAAAAGTTACTTAGTGACGATAAACCAAGCAAAGAATCCGTAAGTGGATAAATAGTTCAGTGAATAGGATTTTACTTTTTTTCTATAACATTATCACGCAAAAGCAGAGCGAGAAGAAATATTATCATTAGAATCTTTTTTGCGAAGTTTTAATTGGCTTAGAATCCATTACATCACCTGTCGATAACTTTCTGTTGCCAATACTCTGCTGGAGTGCTGTTTTGACCCTGTTTTGGCGACAAACCGACAACTGTAAACAACTTTTACAACTGCACTTTTGGTTTCGGTCTTAACAGACGCAAGTGTGAAGTCTTACTGACTGAAGTGCCGAGTTTTGTGTGTTTAGCAGATATTCTGCTTTTGAAACGTTTGATCTGTTTTGCAGATTGATACATTTTTCTGTTAAGCTTTTTATCCCTTTTCCGAACATTCACTGGGGTGCAACTTTTTGTTGTTACTTTATAACTTTATAGTCGTATTTTTATGCCCTAAATTCCTCACTGTTTTATCTTTTCTGTTCTGTGTTTTGATTTATTAATTGTATTTTTTTCTTTTTGTTAACAGAATGGCAAATCATCAGGTAAGATCATGTCTTCGTTTTACGTTTGTTAAAACCTAACGCATTAATTATTCGAGGTAACTTGTTGGAGGATTCGGGAAATGTCGAGATTTTCTTACTAAATTTTTAAACTGTAGGCGAAAAAGGTGGAAAAGAAGGACTTAAAAAAGACAGCAAAGGAGACGAAGACGAAACAGCCTCAGTAACGAGCTATGAGTCATCAATGGTAAGAAAACAGAAGATTTAGCTCTAGAAATGTAAGCGTTTGATAACTTAATGTTTCCCCTCCCCCTCAGCTTGTTTTATTCAGCACTTGTTTAGTTTGCGGAATTTTTTCCCCAACAGACCTTGGTCTCATTGGTTGCTTCGAGGTCACATGACATCTATTAATAGAACTGTTTCCCGCCAAAAAGAGCGGGAAACTTTGCAAAATCTATGATCATGACGTCAGAGGGTAACAGTGCACTGTTACTGGCGTGAGCCGACCGCTAGCTGAGATTTACTTGTACAAGTTTGTAGACATAACAGATCACTTAATGACTCGTCCCTTAGGAAATTAGTTTGAGATTGAATGGAAACATAATTTACTAATTTCTCTCGGAACCAGTTATAAATTGTTTATTGTTTGATCGGTGGGGATTGTCCTTGTATCTTGATCGCAGATGGAGGCCAAGTTACGCACTTAAGACGGGAATGAGATTTTAACTTCTGGTTTTATGTTTTTCTTAGGTCGGGCGTCGTCTTCGTATCAGACGAACGTTTAAAACAGCGGATGGAAAGGAGTTTGTTCGTATTGAAGTCGTCAAGAACCAAGCTGTTATTGATGCGTACCTCAAGTTGAACAAAGACAAGAGTGTCAAGTACCTTATCATCTCATTTTTTCAGTGCATTTGTGTACGTTGTGGCAAAATCGTGATGGAATCTTACCTTCATTCGTTCTGTTTCTCTTAGAGCTCAGTTTGCGAGCGTTGATGAAATTCACAAGGAGGAAATCAGAAGAGAAAAGAGAAGGTAGAGCAAATGATTCCTCAAGTTCATGCAAGATCACGCTGTCGAAATTGTTGTAGTTACAGTAGGTAATTTTCAACACAACGCTGCGCGCTAAAAATATGCAAGCCGTGTCACAACACGGGGACGATTTATAACGCAACAATCAGTTTACTGTAGCAAGTTGCTTTTATACCAGTGAAGCAGATATTTATAAACTCGCAACATGTTGCGACTCGATAATTCAGGGCCCAATTTTTGCTCAGCAATCAAAAACGCAATTTTGATCAATATTAGAAAGCAAATGGTACAACGTATTGCTGAAGAGGTTTCATTTGAATGGTCACACCGTAGGATTTTTCCCACAGACTCAGGAGTTAGAACAACAAACCCGACCCTTTAATGACTGTTTATTGTTATAATTGTTTTTGTTATAAAACCTATTCAGAATTCAAGAGCAGCTACGACGGATTAAACGTAATCAAGAAAAAGAAAAATCACAGCCGGTAAAGAAGAAGAAAGAAAAACCACCCAACAATGTAAGTTTGCACAAAACATGTAAAATGCTGAGCACTGTTTAAAAAACGAGCAGGACTGTATTATCAGGTTTTAAAACTCGAGTTAAAGCCGAGAGTTTTTACATCTGATAACACACGACTGCGAGTTTTATGAACGACTTCAAAATCTCTGACATAGATCAACTCATTCTTGCACTAATATTTGGATTTTGGGTTATTTGGTCTAAAAAAAAATTGGACGTTAAGCCTAGCGGTGTCTTTATCAGATAGAAAGACACTCATTAAACAAAAACTTTTTTTGTTTTTCTTTATGAATTATTAATGAGTTTTTGAAAGGTGCTTCGATATCTCTACCTCAGTAAGATTGTGCTTAAACTTTTGATAATAATGTAGTATCTATAAATCGTAATACCTGATAATGATGTAAAATTCAGTTTTTTATTTCGAGGAGACCAAAAGCTGCCATTTATTTCCGTTCTGCTCCAAAGAAGGTTCCTCTTTTACTCATAGCTTCTGATGCCGCGGCATCCTTCTAGAATAATCTTTTCTCTTGATTAATCTTACTTTGCACAGTTAAAATGCGGGGCGTGTGGAGCGATCGGTCACATGAGAACGAATAAAAACTGTCCAAACTACCAAGAAGCTAACCCTGGATCTGTAGCAGTCGCCATGACGGACGAACAGGTCGCTGAAGAAGAACTCAACATGCCTCAAGATGATTTAGTGAAAGTTGAAGGAACAAAGATTACTCTCGGAAAGGCATTCTTGGATCAGTAAGTTATACTCGATCACTGTAACTTTTCCATTTTAAAACATGGTATTTGTAATATTGCTAAGGATTAAATCCCAAAAAATTCCGAGGATGCCTGTATACCGAGCTAGGACTCGACGCAGGACTCGACAATTTTTCGCTTTCCAGCCATTTTCACCTCCTGCAAGTCACATGACCATTAAGAAAGGGTTTTCTTGGCAATCATGGAAGGTAAGCTCGCTGTTAGGGTTAGGTTAGGGTTAGAGGTTAGAGGTTCGGGTTGGACTTAGGGTTAGGGTTAGGAGTCCTGGCTCGAGTCCTGGCTTTTATGTTAGTTTATCTCAAAATTTCCAAGTAATTAATTAAGTTGGCCCATCCTGGAAGCCCAAACTCTCCTCTCCTCCCTCCCCTCCCCTCCCCCGACGTTTACCATGTCACCACCCGTTGTCTGGTCTCACACAAATCTGTTGGAGGGTAGAGTTCGGTTGTCGAACGGTAGGGTTTTGTTTTTCCGATGGATAACTTTTTAAGTTGTTATAAGCTGATGTCAGAGCCACGTGCCTACGAAGAGTAGCAGTCGGAAAATTCACCTTGAATGTGTGACTTTTTTTCAGAACGAACGAGTTAAAACGGAAATCACTTGTGCTGCGCTTTCCAAAGGAATCTGGTGAGAAAGCAATTTAACTGCTTTCTTTTTGGCGGTTGAATTTTACTCATGAAGTATAAACTATGGATTTATGAAAATACTTATTCACTTTCTTTTAATTTACGTTCTTAGTTCGAAAAAAGAGGCGCTCAGGAGTAATGCATTGTGATTACTTAAAGGTAATATTCTCGGTATTTTCAGCATAAATATATAAATGTACTGAACTGCCCCACCAGAGTTTTTCCGTGCGGGCCTTAAAGTTTCTCGTGGCATGTTTTAACAATCTTTTTTTTTTCTATATGCATAGAAACCTCGCAAATCTATCAACCGTCGTAGAGCCAATCCTGAGGTAAGTTTTGCTCTGACAGCATGTTGGCCGAAAACCGCTAACCCTTTTTAAAACGTTCTTCTTCGCCTGAAGCAAATTATATTTTTTTATTAGATTGTCTGTGGCAAGACCCTAAATAGTTCTGAGCAGCTTGTATGTCGAAAAATGACAATATGTCGGACGTAACCGAGAAGGCATTTCGTCTCCCTTCCCTCCTGCGATCGGACGACCATTTGACTTTTGAGGGGAAGGGGATGGTCATTTAAGATTTAAAAAATCTATCAAACAGGAACGGAAACAGAATTCTCACGTGGAGCTATTGGTTCTACATTTACGCCGAATTGTTATGAATATATTCGATCATGTAGTAAGCCAATAGAAACTTCTTAACCGAAAACATCCTCCCTGGAAAAGTTTGAACTTGTTTACCATCAAGTTTGTTGCGTTTATCTTTCAGGTGGCCTTACAAGCCTTGTTTGAGGGAATTCTTAATAAAATGAAAGAAGTTGACGATGTAAGCCAATTTATCTTACATCTTGTCATTTAATTAAGATGTTGGAGATAAGCTAAGAAGTCTGATGAAAGTATAAATTGTTTAGAAGGATTAAGGACAGCAGTAACACTTCTGTAAGGTTTATGTTGTAGTTAATTTTTTTATCTCAGGTAATTTTTGTTTTTCTTTTGTTTGTGGGTAAGGTAATGTTGAGAAAAATAAAAATTACCTGAGAAAAAAAATTAACTACAACATTTATGTTTGAAAATTTCGGTTTACAGACGTGGCCATTCCACCAGCCTGTTTCAATAAAAACTGTTCCGGATTATCACAAAATTGTTAAAATTCCAATGGATCTACAAACCATGCGAGAGGTGCGTATAAAAGCATATTGTTTTTATTAATTTATAACTGTTCACCATTTGCAAAAAGTTTCTGGAAAATCCGATAAATCCGTTAGGTTTGGGGAAATAAAATCAAAACGAACTACCTCTCTTGAGTTTGCTCTAATTTTCTATTTACTTTTTCCAGAACCTTCGGAAATGTAAGTACCTGTCAAGGGAAGAGTTTTTTGAACACGCAACCTTGATAGTCTCAAACAGCGTTTTGTACAACGGTGAGTTAAGTATTGTAGAGCTTTTAGTGTAAGTTTTTAACACAGGGGTGGATTCAAAAAATTCAGAAAGGGGAAGGGGGCGGCCGCTTGCCACCTATCCTCGGTCCCGCCGGTCCACCCCCTAAATCCAATGTGTGATACTTGATGAGATTCAATCAGTCATGTAAGGCCTGGGTTGTTTTATTTTCAGGACCCAACCATGCATACACCGCAACAGCGCAGAAAATGGTGGATGTCTGTAACAAGGCTTTGAGTGAGGTCAGTCACTGTGTATTAGGATGCTGCGATAGTATTATTATTGTTCAGTTGTTGTGACGGTAAAAGAAGGAATTTGGTGTGACCGTCGCTCATTTTTACCTCGAAAGTCCTCGCACCGTCAAATTTTATGACGTTATGTTGTCTCTGTTGTTAAAACACAACATTGTCTTGAATGCAACTATTTAGTCCCTCACAGAAACTGGAAATGGCTGCGTGTTTGAAATTACCCTGTATCGAAGCACAACTGTTTGCAACAGATGATTGTATATTTCAATAAATGGAGACTACCGAGATAAAAGGCAGCTGAAAATCTAGAAAATCTTTACTTAAGCGGGAATACTTAAGCTGAAGATTCGAATTAGTTTAGCTCTGTTAACCGTTTTTGTTCTCTTTGCTTTTAATTGATTTATAGTATAGGTTAACTTTCTACAGATGTAATTCTCTTTTGTGCATCTTTACAGAAAGAAGAAGAGATAATTCAGTTGGAAAAAGAGATCAATCCATTACTGAGTGACGATCCACAGGTAACTTCAATTATAATTGACATTCACTGCCTCAACAGAGAGTGATTGTCCAACAGAACCTTCTGTCGAGGCGGCAAAGGAATCATATTTTAGTCTTGGGTATAGTTATGGTTCATAAAGTACGACCTTATAGGTCTGAAAGCTTCAAAGCTACGGTAGTCTTTTTTGTAGCTTATTGTTTCATTGTCTTGCCTTTATTTAATTAATTAATTAATTATTTATTTATTTATTTATTTATTTATTTATTTATTTATTTATTTATTAACTTATTCATCATTCAACTTGCCAGATTGCGTTCTCTTTCATCCTGGAAAATCTTGTCGCGCAGGTGAAGGCTTTACCAGAGGTAAGCAGTCTTTGAAATAAGAAATAAGATTTCGTTAGATGAGGCAAGTCAAACACGAAAGAGAGTGTTTCCGCAGGATATCAAAACAACAAGAACTAGGTTGGGAGAACAAAGCCAGGTTGACGTTTGTTTTCATTCAACTTGGAATTGCAGGATACTCTCTCGACGGATTCAAGTGATTGAGATTGCTTTTTAAAACCTACGTCGTTGTTCCCAGAGTGGGGTCTGAGTACTAGATTGTCTCAAATTTTAATGTCAATAATTTCCCTTCTTCTTTCTATGAGTTCTCTCCAGTTGAAGATGTTGTGATATTTTATCCCTGACATCAAACAAGAGAGAACTTGAAGGAACCGGGGACAAAACTGAGAGAAAAAACAATTTGTCTCCTGGTTAAAGTCATGAATCCAATTGCAAATTAATTGCCTTGTGTTTATTTATGTTGTAACCTGTCGTTTTAATTTCGCAGAGTTGGCCTTTCCAAAAGCCAGTGTCGTCCAAGCAAGTTCCTGATTATTATGATGTAGTTAAGACACCAATCGACCTTTCTACCATAAGACAGGTAATCACCGACAAGAGCCCAGCTTCTTTACCAAGCCACTCTTTGTTCCAGTGGCAGGATTAGCTCACCGTGGCAGGATTAGCTCAGTCGGTAGAGCGTTTGACTGCAGAGCGGGAGGTCGCGGGTTCGATTCCCGGGGCCGGACCAATACTCAGGGTCTTAAAATAACTGAGAAGTGAAGGTGCTGCCTTTGCCCTGCAAGCGGCTAGACCTTCGCGTGGCTCGGATAACCACGTAAAATGGCGGTCCCGTCTCCATTAGGAGGCGTAAAAATAGTGTCCCCAATTAGCACTTTCGTGCTAAATACATTGACACTCAAATAAAAAGTGCATTTTTTTTTCTTTTTTTACCTATTGTTCTGCCGAGCGTCGTATGTCGGTTTGTTGTCGGTTCTCGTCTTTGCACCGAGGGTGTTTCCCCGGTAGTTGGGACTTTCCTCCTTCCTAAAAAACTCTAACATTTCTGAGTTTCCATTTGATCTGGAATCCTGAGCCGAGCGCATTGTCAGTGTCTTTTTTTGTTTCAAGTGTGTAACAACCTTTAACCATAGTCACTAACTGAAGATACCGATGTCCAACAAAGCAGAAGTGGTCAACCCTGAGGAACACCTTGGTCAATTATGGAAACATGAATTGTGTTCTAACTTCGGAGTCTGTAGGCGAAGTTATGGAGCAATTAATGCAACCTGTTGGGTCATCCCGTCCCGCAGCAGTTATTGCTTTGCAATATTTTACAGAATCACTAACCTGCAGAACAGGCCTTTTTTGGGTTTATCAGGCGAGAAGGCCAGCGCTCTCACTCCACGCATGCTTCGTACCTCGCTCGCCGGAAGAACGGGAAAAAAATAGCGCTTCTTCTGTAGACTACAGAATCATAGGATGAGATTCTTTCTTCTTTCTTTTTCTTTTAACTTGTACACTTACAATCTTCGCTCTTCTTGCATTAATTGATTTTTGTTTTGCGTCTTAACGCAGCAAGTGCAAGGCCACGCCTACCAAAACAGAGACGAATTTATGGAACACGTACGAATGATGCATCGGAACAGTGTCCTCTATAACGGTATGTTAAAGTCCTGGAGGATTTTTTTCTTAGATTTACTATGGGGGTGTTCCACTGAGTCCTTTAGACTCTGGGATTATTCCAGACAAAATTAGATGAAGCTGCGATCATTTTCTCGACNTGTTGTCGGTTCTCGTCTTTGCACCGAGGGTGTTTCCCCGGTAGTTGGGACTTTCCTCCTTCCTAAAAAACTCTAACATTTCTGAGTTTCCATTTGATCTGGAATCCTGAGCCGAGCGCATTGTCAGTGTCATTTTTTGTTTCAAGTGTGGAACAACATTTAACCACAGTCACCAGCTGAAGATGCAGATGTCCACCACAGCAGAAGTGGTCAACCCTGAGGAACACCTTGGCCAATTATGGAAACATGAATTGTGTTCTAACTTCGGAGTCTGTAGGCGAAGTTATGGAGCAATTAATGCAACCTGTTAGGTCATCCCTTCCCGCAGCAGTTATTGCTTTGCAATATTTTACAGAATCACTAACCTGCAGAACAGGCCTTTTTCGGGTTTATCAGGCGAGAAAAGGGCAGCGCGAAATTGTCTGTCACTCCACGCATGCTTCGTACCTCGCTCGCCGGAAGAACGGGAAAAAATAGCGCTTGTTCTGTAGGCTACAGAATCATAGAATGAGATTCTTTCTTCTTTCTTTTTCTTTTAACTTGTACACTTACAATCTTCTCTCTTCTTGCATTAATTGATTTTTGTTTTGCGTCTTAACCCAGCAAGTGCAAGGCCACGCCTACCAAAACAGAGACGAATTTATGGAACACGTACGAATGATGCATCGGAACAGTGTCCTCTATAACGGTATGTTAAAGTCCCGGAGGATTTTTTTCTTAGATTTACTATGGGGGTGTTCCACTGAGTCCTTTAGACTCTGGGATTATTCCAGACAAAATTAGATGAATCTGCGGTCATTTTCTCGACAATACTTGTAAAAAAAGGAATGCTTTGAAGGCGGAGTTTTTAACTTTTGGGACGTTTGGGAGAAAAAGAAAATTAGCCTATCAATGTGACTCGAGATTTTGCGTGTCGAAGTTTCTTTGCTCTAGTTTGTGAGGAAAACCAGTTTGTATAGGCTTACTTTTATTGCATTTCACCCTGTTGATCCTTGGTTTACTATTTTACAGGTGAAAATCATGACTTTTCCAAGATGGCCGAAAAACTGGTCCACTTTTGTGAGGATGTCCTTAAGGAGGTAAACATTAGACACCGAATAAAAAATAATGAAGTGTGCTCTTGTGCGTCAGTGAAAATATGAATGCATCTCATTCTGGCAATTTCTGTATTTTTTAATCTTTGTTTTGGTTTTACAATTTTTCTACTGGTCAGATCCGTCGAATAGCCTTCTAGGTTTAAGAAACACCAAAATAGGCGATTAAATTGGTGATAAAAAAGAAGAAAAGGAATTTTCCTTAAAACGGTGTATACAAGGCGTGGATGCCGCCTGGGTCAGATTGTTTGGGTGGATCGACAAATCATAACTAACGCCTGTCTACCCCAATGATTGCAGAAATCTTTGTACCGAAAGCTTTTGCCCACTTTGCCTATAGTCTATGGAGTGGCGAATACTATCTATCCCATTTGTTCACAAACTTCCTGACCCGCCAAAATGCAGATTTGTGGTATGCGCATGATACTGGAACTCGGTAATTGCTAAAACTCAATACGCTTTCTCTACCCTTAACAGAATGACGAACAGTTAAGCAAGTGGGAAAATGAAATTCTGCTAACTCCAGGAGACGACACGTCATCATATGCTGCCAGTCAGCCGCCGTCGGTCGCAGGCCCAGAGTGGTCACAAGAAAATAGTATGGACGACTTCCCAGAAGGCTACATGAAAGAAGAAGACAGCCTGATGGACGTGGAGGAACTGGACACCACTGGCGAGGAATACCGGGATTTCAGGGCAGACTTGAGCACTCCTGTCTCGGCGATGGATCAATGTAAGACATAATACCCCCGTCAGTGGTTTCCCCCAAGGAATATCGGGCTTACCCCAGGGGTTTTACTGAAAACGTTCTCCTCTGGGATGGAAATCACTTTTATGTGATTTTTACGTGAATTTGAGTTGCGTTTCATTGTTTTCTCCGATTAATCTTTTACCCAAATTTTCGAGGTCACTAGTCAGACCCTGTAGTTATGCCCGATCCCCCTCCCCTTTCACACGATGCTGAGGAAAATGAGTGACAACTGCATGATAATGGCAAGTTTTGCGCGTGTTTTTATCGTGTTGGCGCTCCCTTACGTGGGTGAGCAAAATCAACATTCTTCTTTAAAATGTAAAATATATTTTTGCAACTGAATGTAGCAAAAACCTTTGAAAACACCACATCCTGTAAAGAAACTAAGCTCTTAATTTTTGTTGTTCATTTTATTCTCTCTAGCTTCTCGCCTAGATGCCGATTTCGAAGAAGAGGAAGTCGACATCGAAGGCTACGACGATGAAGAGAGTACTTCTCGAAGCTACAGTAAACACGAAAGTCTTGGATCGCAGCCACAACCTGAAAGCGAGCAAGACTCTCAGGATGTAAGTCAGTTCGAGAGCATTTTACTACAAGATCTCGAGCACAGTGAAAGCGAGAGTGATGAAGAAGATGATTTTCCGTTCGGCGATGGAGATGATGAAGAAGAAGAGGATGTTGAAGAGGAGGAAGAACAGGAGAATTTTTCTCTAGCGGCTGGAGAAAGAAACGAGTCCATGAACACAACAGAAGATATGTCTGGAGACGAGATATGAATATTGAGGCCACAAAAACTTTGGTGAGATCAAATACATTATCACCCAGAATGAGAATATTTCATTACCAAAAAATGACTCTGTCAACTCCTACAGATATGTGGTGTCACCTTATTTAAGAATTGACCAAAGGAAGAACTCCCAGAAATGAACTGACATGAAGGGAGGATTTAAACCTGCGAAGGTTACAAGGACTATATGTGTACAGTTAAATATGTTTATTTTCAATTGTCTTCTAATATAGCTATCCTAACGAGAATTGTACGACGTAGTTTCAAAAGTATTTGCTTTAGTTATATTTTGCTTATAAAAACAATGCTTGTAACAGAAGATTTCACAGTAACCATTGAAATGAAACCTTTTCAGCTGTTGTTTAACATGGTACTATTTGTTTTGCATGTTGTTCTAACTTTTGAGTTTGTTGGTGAAATCCTATGGTGTTACTATTCAAATGAGACCTCTTCAGCAGTACTTTCACATGGCACTATTTGTTTTGTATGTAGTTCTAACTTTTGAGTCTGTGGATGAAATCCTGTCGTGGTTCCACTTAAATTAAACCTCTTCATTCGCATTTTCACATGGTGCTCCTGATTTGGTTTGTATGTAATTCTATCGTCTTGTACCTAGATCCAAGTTTTTGAGTCGCTGCACCAAATCGTATGGTATCACCAATGGAATAAAACCTCTTCAGCAGTACTATTTGTTTGTCAGTATTCTGCAAACGGGCCGGTATCAGGTGTTATTCTTTAATTTGAAGGACTGCTGGGAGTGAAATGGTTAATAAAGACTTTTAGATTCTAAAGCGAGGACGACTACAATTTTCTCACCACTAAGTAGTGCTCGGGCGTGAACCATCGTCATTTTGGCGGGAAAAGACGATAGCCGTCGTCAATCTGCTACGAGTTTTAGCGCTAATGTCGGAGTGACGAAAACAAGTTCTCAAATATTAGAAGTTTTATCATTTTGAAATCGGGAGAGGGCTTGACCTCCTTCGATATAAATAACCGTGTTTAGTTTTCTGGTGAAAAAAAGTAAAATGAAGCTTTGCGAGGTGTCTAGTTTTTGAGAATACGTAAGTCAAATCTCGCCCTCATAGTGTATATCTTTATGTATAAATTGTAAAAAAACACACACAATCTTTTTCTTGTTTAAAGAGATGTTTCAGTTTAATACTGCCATCATCAATTGCAATATACTGTACATAATGGATGTTTGTATAATTAAAATATGCTAATAAAATGGTTATAAGAAAAACAGAAAAGGTTTTTGTACAAAAAATTGAGTTTTAACTGTTCCTAGTCTCCTTTAAGTCCTACGACCAGCCTCTTTACTTTTTACATAGATTCTATCTCATTTGTTTGTTTGTTTTTCTCTCTTCAGTATTCACTATTATTCTTTGTTCAAAAATCCTATCTAAAACCAAAACTTTCCGACGTTCGGCCAAAATGCCCTTGTGACGTCATTTACTTGTTCCATGTTTTCCTCTTTACTGTTCAATGATTCCAGGTCGTCTTTTTCTTGTCTTTCAGTAACATTCCAACCCATTCTCTGTAATATTTTACTTAACAAGTTTAATTTCTCTCAAACACTTGTTAAATAAGTGAATCAGTGAGGCACAAATGACTTCACGGCTATTCCCTAGTCCACAGTCTCTTCTACTCGCTGAAGCGGAAATGCGCCAATTTTAAGCGCTTTGTAACACATGTTATCTCGCTTCCAGTTCATTCATTTTACCTTCACCATAGTTCCCACAACATCAGTTTTAAGAATCGAGAACAGAAAATTCGTTTTATGGAATATTTACCTGAAAGCTGACACTAAGCATTCTGGGTGATTTTACCGAGGAAGCAAACGTCATAGTCTGCACTCGCCACTTCACAAATGACAAGGAAACTGGGACGAGTTAACTTTTGCAGAGACTTCTGGGACCGTATTAGGGACATGGAAAACGAATGGGCAAATCGCTGACCGGTTTGATTTGAGCTTGATTTTTGTACTTTCGCAGTTAAAAGATGCTATCCGTCGAAAATCTGATGAAGTGATAAAAGTGGCCTTAGACTATAAACGCGACGAAAGCACAGAAAATAAAAGCGATTGCCTTCAACAAGGTTTTCCTGTAGGCGGAAAATAAAAATGTATTTGCAGTTTTCTCACAAAATAGTTAAGTGTGTGTTCGGAAACTGAAAGGTAAAGAGCGTGTCTTTTTAAAGTTTTGGAAATTGAAAGTTTGTAACCGACTTTTCAGGCGTCACACAACCAAATTGATATTTTTACATAAAAAAATGAGATGGATAACGCATTTCTTAGAGTTATAGAATAGGGAAAGATGGTTAATTTTAAGCTCGGTAAATTAATGTGTCACCAGCGCGAGATTCTACAAGGCGGGTAACGTTTCGCGGATCGAATCCTGTCAGTGATGCAATTTTTTTTTCTCTGTCTTGCGCTTATTCACAAAAAAAAAGAAAAAAAGTATGTACACTCAACTATGAGACGGTTTGACGAAAGTTGTGAGTGAAATAAAATATTTTAATCTTCATTTTAAAGACACACTTTGACTTTACAAATTATATAAATACGTGTTATTGACCAAGCGAGAGGTCAAGATGGCCTGATATTGACCGAGTTTTTTTCCCCTTCGTCTTCATGGACCGAAGCGAATGCGGCAGTCTTGATCCATGAAAACGCTAAAAAAATTGAAGCCAATTTATCGCCATCTTGACTAAACAAGCGTAGCCAATAAAAGATTTTTTTAAATATCAATAGGCTCTGCAAAATCCACCAGGCAAGATTGAGAACCATGAAAATCCACTAAGTTTCATTTTTTAATTTCCCCTCGTCTTTGTGTTCTTTTCTGAGTACTACACACCAATTTCCCTTATCGTAGTAAAGTTTCTCCACTGTTACGTCACTGACTTGATTACAAAGTTCCCGAAGCTCGCCATCTTGGAACACGTGATAGTACCGGTGAAACACGTGACCTCCTGTGACGTCATCATCTTTCTTTCCCTTTGCCCTTTCCTGCTTCTCTTGCTGTTTGCCTGGTCCACTATATTTCCATGGTACAAACAAATCTTGCTGCTCAAACGCTTCTCGACTGGCATTAACCCGCAGCCTTGAGAAATAACAATCAGTCGAATTTTCGGAACTACTTGGGAAGTTTTCTATCCTCGTAGGAAGTTCTTCTGAAACGTAGTTTTCTCTTAAGCTACCGCCCTTGTTTCCGTTTCTTTCTGGATAATCTTTTGCTGTGAATTCCACTTCCTTTAAATCTGACTTTTTAACCTTCTTTGCCTCCTGTTCCAAGGCCCAGACGTAAACTAGCACCAGTCNCTGTGACGTCATCATCTTTCTTTCCCTTTGCCCTTTCCTGCTTCTCTTGCTGTTTGCCTGGTCCACTATATTTCCATGGTACAAACAAATCTTGCTGCTCAAACGCTTCTCGACTGGCATTAACCCGCAGCCTTGAGAAATAACAATCAGTCGAATTTTCGGAACTACTTGAAAAGTTTTCTATCCTCGTAGGAAGTTCTTCTGAAACGTCATTTTCTTTTAAGCTACCGCCCTTGTTTCCGTTTCTTTTTGGATAATCTGCTGTGAATTCCACTTCCTTTAAATCTGACTTTTTAACCTTCTTTGCCTCTTGTTCCAAGGCCCAGACGTAAACTAGCACCAGTCCACCCGGCCGTGTGACTCGTACCAGTTCCTTGAGACCTGCCAGACGTCGCTCAGGTGTCGAGAGATGATGCAGCACGGCGATACACAGACAAACATCAAAAGCGTTTGACCTGAAAAAAAAAATTCAAATAAATCAGCCTAACACAGAAAAAGGGTTTGCAACATCCCAACTTCATCATGAGCTCATTATCTAGGGCATAAAGCTCCCATACTAATCTTAGCAACTTCCCGTTTCTTCATTAAATTCCCTCAAGAAAGACGGCTTGTCCGAAATATCGGGAAACCTCAAGTCGCTTTTGTCTTGGCTGTTTTGTTATTAATATTTATATTCATGGACTAAGTTATTTTTGGGAATATTTTGGAGTACTTTCAGCGGAAATGTAAGCTCTACTCAGTACGTGTGCGTATCCGTAGTACAATATAATTTTAATAGAAAGGAAACTGAACGTCATTAACAAGTCAAAAATAACATTTTCCGGTTTTTTTTTTCCTTTTAATGCCTGGTTTGTGGGACTTGTGCGATAGTGTAAATTTGCTGAAAATTCAAACTAAAATAAACTTAGAGTTGGTTTTAACACTGTGAAAAGATTCCAAAGCCGGCGTCTTAAAAGTTAGCTTTTCGTCAGAGCTCTTTGTATTCGCGATGGGTTGACGCTAAAAACATCAGCCTTTGAATTTATTTACGGTGTTAAATTGACCTTATCAACTCATTGATTTGATGAAATCAGATTATTATCACTCGCCCACCGACTTAGCTCTGTAGTTTCTTTTGAAGCTTACCCCTTCTTTTTAAAATTGAACTAGTCTGCGAAAACGCCGTGACGGGTTATGGACTTCCTTTGCCCGCCTCCTAGCCGTGCCTAGGGGACCAATAAATACAAATAGCTCTGCATTCACCGTCCACTCTCGGTAACGTGTTTTCTGTTCAATTCCCAACACATTCCTATTCTATCCAGGAGGGGGTGGGTGGGGGTACAATGACACAGCAGACTGCAAACAGACAACATTCGCCTAGCCTGCGTAGCAAGCGCTTGGCGCGACGGAGACACTAACAACAAGCGCCGGCTAAGCAGGCTAATGTTCGCCGTTAGCCATATAGAAACTAATTAGTCTAGCAACCTTAGGTGTTCCATGTAACGAGGTTCATCCGACTCCTCCACTTCCTAAAGGGTGGCTCAAGACTCGTTACAGGGACGCTTAATCCTCTTCAACTAATCCTGCTCTACCTGTATGGCAACGATAAGATGTCGCACACAATCACAGAAAATCCTCGCTCTCTACAGATGGCAGCAAGGTTAAAACTTCTGTCGGAGCCGGTTTTGAATATGTTATCATTTATCCCGAGATATTTTCCATTTCCGCAGCCGACATCAGCCACAAGACTTCCCACGGGTTGCTGTCGGAGAAAATCCGCTACCCTCGGCCATGGGCTGTGGCGTGTACCGCTAAAATGCGGTGCAATCTTCTCGTAAACTTCATGAACATGAAGCTTCTCGAGATTTTCTGCTTCTACTTCGGACTTCGGAACATCAGACGCTGGAGGAACCTGAGATGAACTTTTATCCTCGGTTTGCGAATCACACTGAGACGGAAAGCAGCAGTTACACGGTGTATGGCGAATCTTCCGCAAAGTTAGGGATATCCTTGTTTCTCTTTCAAACAGGGTTGTTCCCGTCTCGGCTCCTTCATTGGAGGTGCAAACATCCCTGACGTTTTCACTGATATCAGCTCCCTTGCTCGATGTGCTTTGTGTGTCGTAAATGATATCGTGTTTTCGTGGCGTTATACTGAAATGAAATCACGTCAGATCTTAAGAGACACTTTGTCATACATTTTTTTTATTCTAAGCAATATAGGACAGACAGAATATCACGTGCATCAGTCCAAGCTTATAAGAGGCTAAAAACACAAGACGGATTTCGCTACAACTATTCTTACGAAGCACGAACTTTTAAAACTCCTGAATATTTAACAAATCGGGGATAAAGAGTAAAAACAACCCCCTGTTTGGGTAGCAGGTAGACGATATCGTAGTTATCATAAAGCAGTATAGAATTTATGCATTTTGTGAGCCAATACAATAATAATATTACTTCAGTGATCCAGACTGGTATCTTGAACAATTTATCTGGAAAGTCCAAAATTTACCGCAATGTTTGAAAGTGAAATTTCCGTTCTAAAAACGAGTTTCCAAAAGTTTCTAAAGCAAAAAATTTCCCACTTTGATAGTGTCCAAGTTCCTTTTAATCTTTAACAAATTGTTTCCTTCAAAAATGTTGAACATTGGAATTTGACTGCCAACAACATACCCTGGGCTAAATGGTGAGATTTTATCTTACCAATGAATTGCGGTCGTTTCACCCAAAAATCAATTCGCAAGATGGCGTTTTGCCCGGAGTTAAGTTGATTTGCCCCATAACATAATGATTTTCAACACACTTAACATACTTATCAGAAATGTTGTTCTAATTATGCTTGGATTCCATATGAGCAGTTACTATCTTTTTACACTTATTCCTTTTTAGGCTTAAAAATGACAAATACACCCCAGCTGAATTGACACATCAAACTTGGGGTGAAACAACTTGATGTCTTACCCATGACTCCAAAGGTACCGACTTTCTCCTGTCATCACAAGCAAACTTCTTCTAGGTAAAATAACTGGTACATGGCGACCATCGGGATGACGGAATTCCATTGTCACCTAAGAAAGTCACAAAAATGAATAAAGGAAGAGAAAGATGGGAAAAAATTAATTAACAAATACATTATTACCTGTGAGCCAAGGCTAATTGAAGCAATCCCATCTTCAAAAGCTGAATGGGTGTCTACGTGAGGAGGAATACCTTTAAGCAAAGTAAAAGCATTTCTTGTCAAAACGTTTCTGCTCAGCATAGTTTTTTTTTTAATTTTGAGACAATAAATATAAAGAAAAGTCAGTGATGTTCAACTCTGACCAATCTACTGGAGGGAGCAGAAGGAAAGGGCAACATTTATTGTTTACAAAATCACACTAAACTAAGCCAAAAATTTCATTTCATATTCCACTACATAATTCAAAAGGATTTGACTGGAAACATTATAAATTTAACCTGAAATACTTCAAGTGAATTGCTCAGCCTTTATCAGTCTGGTTGAAAAGCGTAAAGTGATCACATGACCTTAAAATGGTCAACTAACATGGATTCCACCTTCACCACAAGCCATTTAACAACCTCAGAATTAAAAACTGTTGCAAATCAAAGATAATGCCTCCGACTCTACAAAATTGCGATGTGAACTACCATTTTGATTGTGAAAACCACGACCATGATTAGTCTTAGTCATGAAAATGAACAAAAAGAGGGAGAGTGAGAACAGAGAGTAAAGAAAGAGGTGTACGGAGAGGGGTGTGGAGAACATGCACGCTGAGTATTAAGGTTAAAAGATTTTTCCTACCTTGCCCTGGTTTGTACTCATTCACAGTCATTTGGTCAGGTCTGAATGCTACATGCTGCTGGATACGTTCAAGTATGACATCACAAACACTAGGAATGCCATCATGCAAAGGACTTGATTTGTCCACGTTGTTGGTCCCATACAAGAACTCATAACCAAAATGCTTGACTCTTCTGTGACGAAGCTGCTGATTTGCTGTAGAAATGTAAAGCCATGTTTTACTATATCCCATGATTAACTCCTAACAATGAAAAACTGAAAGATTGCTATACCCTTGATACATAACTACCCTGGTTGTATTGTTTGTCTTCAGCATCAAGTATACACAATGTAACCACTTACAAGAATAATAATATTATTGTAAATTAAGGGAATTTATAAAATGGATCTATTTTTATTCACTGATGATTCACACATAAATGGCCAACTCAAATACAAAACACTAGCTTGCCTGCTGCTTTCCTGTGGTTTTGACTGTTTTTGAGTTTGAGCTTTGAGTTTGCCTTGCAAGTTTCAACCTAAACGTTCTAAGTTTATCATAGATCCATTCAACAGTGAACATAAAAAGAGACATACATGTGTGCACACTATATATCTTAGGCGCAGCTTGCAATGCAACTCTGGGCCAAACTTGTGGTGTGGAAGGGGATGGGAGGGGGGGGGGGTGAGTTCACAACCACGTGAAACCACTGGCTTGAATTGCTGTACACTGTAAAGCAATACCTGTTCCCTGATATTCACTATCACAGCTGTCACTACCCCACCCTAGAGCTTTGATTAGTTCTTCTTCTTCCACTCTACTGACAAAATCTTCCACCAGAAAGAGGCCAGACGGCTTAGCCTGATTCTCAATGGAGACGTCATCAGGGACACTTGCAAGGAAGGAAAGGTAAAACGTCACTTCCGGTCTTGGAAATTCTGAAGGGCAATCCAAGACGCGTCCATGTACCGCCTTCATGGCTTTCATCGATTCATTGACATATTCAAACGACAGAAATGAAAATGATCGGCCAGGAAACATTAAAATACGTTCTATGTTGCCAAACTTCTGGAACAAGCTCACGAGCTGACCACGTTGTATACCACACATTAACCCTCCATTTCCAATCATCAAATGGCGGGTCGGTATTTCTGATATGCTTGCTAAATCGGCATTATGTCTGCGAAGGGAATTTACTAGTCTTGTTTGCTTTCTTAAAGCTTTTTTCTCTGCTTTGGTCAATTTAGAAGCACACGATTTCATGACATTAGAAGTCGCCATCTTGGATTTTAAATTTGCAAAGACAACCGCATTCCAAACCTTTGCTGGCTCAGAAATGTTTTAGGCGGGTACACCGCTGACCAGGGACAAACTTCTGGGTTTTGATTTTAAACGGGTAAGTGGGTAAGCCTGACGGTGTAGAAAAATAATTTTTATGCAGAGCAACGCAAGATTGTCAAGTATACGGAACCATATTTCTCTTGAGAAGGTAAGAATAAGGGTTATTGTTATTCAATGAGTCTTAAATGAGGCACGCGAATTTCAAAGATTCCACTTTTGGCAAAGTACTAATAGGAGCCTACTAAATCAGCTGAATCCTTTCAAGAAAGCACTATTCAGCTGTTTCATCATAAAAAGTGAGGAACATAATTTATTTCCAAACTTCTCATTAATTTCACTCCTTTAATGGTGTGGCATATACCACTGCCAGTTCATTCCAGAATATTTTTTTTACCTAAATAAAAACGTCCTCCCAGGTCCTTTTCTATCTGTTCTTTAATTCAACCAAAATACAATCATGATAATTATCTCTAAAGCCTTTTTCCAAGAACTATAAAATCCAAGCCAGCTCAGAGTATTAGTGCTGCTGCGATTAGCCATATAATAGCCATATGTTGTTACTTAACTATACTTCTTTCTTTTTATTAAATATTATAATATTTATTTTGGATGTTATTGTATAGTAACTTTATGCACACCTGTTGTTAGTTAAGTAGAAGTAAAGTGGTCGCATTCACACTAGGTGCTCATGCCTCAGATTTCTTGCTTCGTCACTAGTCTGAACTCATGTTGGTCCCCATGTCAGGCAAAAATGTTGGTACCCAGCTTGGGTGAAGGGACTACCTCTAGACAGATTACTTGAGGATGGTGATGGGTACTTCCCTAAACAAGCTGTTCCTAGTTCAGGACTGCTCTTTTATTTCCTAGCTTCCCTGTGATCTGGTCACCAAAATGGCATTCACAGAGAAATCAATCACCATCTCCCTTTCCCCCTCCCCGAATCAAAATCATAAATCTGCCCCGTAATTTGTAAGCAGCAAACAACAACACTCACTAAGTGTGCCTAGTGAACAGTATGGTAATCATAAATCAACAAGCCTCTAATTGCTTGAATGTATTATAAAGATCCTTCTTTCACATCACACCGGGGTGTATGAACACCATAGCTATTCTTTATATTTGCATAAGAAAGTATTCAGACAAAACAAGTGATATTTAGAGTTAAAATAAAGAGTTTGAGTGATTTGAATGTAATATACAGTGACCAGTGTTGAGTTTAACACAACTTGACCTAGCAGGTACCTTTATGATCAGTGCCTGCAAAAACCCTTAGAAACTATAAAAAAGTACCAGAAGAAAGCAATTCTTCATACTAAATAATATGCAGGATCATTGCAGTTATTCTCTGAATGAACAAGTAAATAGGCTACCTCAGGTAGTCTTCTTGATTCCTGGTTAATGTGGAATTTGGAGATGTTGGTTTTTGAGGAGAACGGAAAACTGGAGTACCTGGTCTGGAGAAAAACCTCTCAGAACAAAGGAGAAAACCAACAACAAACTCAACCCACATATGGCATTGACACTGGGATATGAACCTGGCCCACATTGGTAGAGGGAGGGGAGGGGTAAGTGCTCTTAAGGGTCAGGGGGTGATCAACAGCAAAGTCACATGGATTTCATCTTTATTATGTGTATTGTAAAAACTACAGTCACCTCTCTCTAAGTCGGACACCTTCAGGGCCGGTACTAAGTGTCCGTCTAAGAGAGATGTCCGTCTTATAGAAGTCAACTAAAGGGAGTAAAGAAAGGCAGGGACCAACTCTAGGTGTCCGTTTTATAGAGGTGTCCATCTTATAGAGGTGTCTGTCAAGAGAGAGTCGACTGTACACAGTCCCCGCAGCAGTATCTCAATTTCAGGGGTTCAAAGCCTTCACTTTTGTTGAGATCAGGTACCTCTTTGTTTGCATTAATATATTACAGGATTTTATGAGCCAGAGCCATACCTAATCTCCCCTCAAGAATATTAATGTGACCACAACAAATCATGAAAAAATGTTTATTCACAAAACTCATGATTCTATGGTTGCTTAATACTTTTGACTTCACTATTGGACAATTTTGTCCATATTAACCCAAGACTGATACAAAAATAAACTTAAGGAAATCCTTTGTTATTCTTGTTTTGCTCACAAACTGGGATTCCCATCTTCAAGGGGAGAGGGTGTATACTCCAGATTCCAAGTGATGGAATTATTGAATGAAGACAAAGATCTCCCCAGGGCTAATCCATTAGATCCCAAAATAATCCCTTGACCAAAAATTGTCCCCCTCCCCTAAAAAAAATCTCATGTAAATTTACAAGCCGGAGAATTCATTTTAAATTAAAGGAATTCCTTATGGGCCTTACACTTATATATTTGGGACTTTTCTCCCCTTGTTCTTTTCAGGCAAAAAAATGTCAGAGTGATGACAAAATCTCTTAACAGGGTCTCTAAATGTCACATCAACTAATACCATCATTGGTTTAAATGTGAAGTAAAAGAGGCTGTAATGACAGAATAAAGTGATTCTACAATGCTAGATCATTTTAAAAAGAGTTATTGCATGGCAAAGTGAAATAATGAAGTAGTGGTTAAATGGGAAAAGACAAATTTTCCATGAAAATTCCAATACAGCCATTGGTGACATTCAGAGCACCACCTTTCAAAATAACCCATTTCAGAACAGCATTATTTTAAAACTACTAGTAAATGGGGGGTAAGCTATTTGACTCGCCAAATAATGGCTATTAACATGGGCTGAGTTGTTCAAAGCTGGGTTAAGATAACCCAGGGTTAGTGCGAGATTTGAATTCAGATTTGAGAGCTTAAAAAGCATTTCAATTTTAATTCTTTTCGTCTACAAGTTGATGATTGGAAACTCTAAAAATAACAGAGAAGACTATCCGAGAAAATTCTTTTGAACAAAAGAAAAAGAAACCTGGCTTAAGCGTTAATCGGCCCTCGAACAACTGGGCCCTAGTTTCTAAAAAAATAAATTGTTACTCCTGATTAAAGTGGATGAAAGTACAGTGATTAGGTACTTATTTTCTTTTACACGACTGCTTATATCAGTTAGGCGCGGATGCACACCGGTTACCACTGTTTAAAGGAAATCGGTCAGATTTTTCATAACAGGTATATTTTTAGTAAGTAAAAACTTTCCAAGTTGCAAGGCTTCATCCAAGGTGAATGGTTTTTGCCAATATCCTGTCTGAATGACTCGGAAACCCACAGGAGAGGGGACTTTAGGGAGTTAAAATCTAAAAAATTTACCGAGGAGCATGCCCCTGGACCCCCAAGAATCTTGCGCCTTCAGCGCTCGTTTAGGAAATCGGTCAGTATTTATCTTAGATCCGCGACTGTCAGACATGGAGTTACAGCAACTCTGCGATTCTCAAAGCGTGCTGCACTATATTTTGGGCCCAAACTATCTTGATATCAGTTTCAGTGGTTTAGAACAGTTTGTTATCTATTTCCTTAACCCAATAGAGTCGGCTAACCTCTGTTTTCTCATTTAAATGTGTTAAACAGAAACACGCCCAAGGCTTATGAAAGGAAAAGAGATCTGGGAAAGATGTAAGCAATGAATATTGGAAAAATCAATCTGAATAAAAAATACGGCGATTGGCTAGAACAATTTCAGAACCATCATCGTAGTTTAAAAGTAGGTATTAGAAATAAGCTGTATATTATCTGCTTGCAAAGAGAGTTAAAGGGGTAGATGAGAAAAGGAAATTAAAAGACTGAACGGATAAACCGACTGGGTATTAAATTTGACGAAAGCCTGGATCAAAAAACAACCTCCTTCCCTTACTTTTTTTCATATAGGAAAGAAAATCGCAAAAAAGTTTCATTAGTAATAGCCTACATAGAATCTGCTGGAAATTAAAAGAAGATACGTAAATAATCAAAATTCCATACAACAATTCGAAGCATTAAGGAGAATCGATGACTTCTGTTGCCATAAACCATTGTTAATTTTGTTAATATGCTGGTGGCGTCATATTTTAATATTGATTAATTAGGAAATCGTTGAATAACGGCTTCAGTAAGGAAAGGCAAAGAGGAAAATAAATGTTAAGGTACATTTATGAAGGTTGTTTGCGAACAAAACCTTGCGAGATTGTTATTTCTAAAGTTATTTTAATGTACAGGTTGGCCATAGGTTTTAGGTATCTAATTTATACTTAGATATAGAAGTAATAGGGGTGAGCCGGGAGAGGACAAGACAATTATGTAGTAATTAAAAGCATCTTCTTTTGTCCCATGGAATAATTTGTAGTCTTAATTTAGATCTTTTTATTTCTAACCGAATATAAAGTTTTTTTTATCGCTAAAAGTCCGGGTAGATGTACTCATCTTTGTACGCTGTAGATTACGTTAGGTGCTTGAAGCGAACGTGGTCCACGCTTCTCCGAAAATATCTCTTACTAAACAGACTAAACTAATACTGATGTAATTTCTACTTCACTCGACCCTTCAAGTCTAGATCTATTGTCTCCCTTAAGAATATTGCATATCGTTGTTTTTAGCCAAGGGCAAATATATGTGAGAGCAGTACTCAACAACGTAAGGGTATTATTCTCTCTCTCCACAGAAAATTCCTTGTAACTTTGTGGGATAATATTTAAAAACGACCTGCCAGCGCTGCTGATAGTGTCGACTTCGTTATGTTGTCTTCCCGGGCTCCTCAACAGCCCTGTTCAAAGTTTGGCATAATTTAAATTCGTTTCTGAGGGCATTTTTACACAGGATCAAACCTACAATAGCCTATACCACTTATTTCTTCCAAGGCTATTATTTTCCAAAACTTCCTAAGTTGTAAATTCCTGTTTAATGAGAAGAAAAATGGCTAAACATCAAATACGAAAACATAGCCATTTCGTCCAAAATTTTCCGTTTTCTTCTGATGTGTGTATAACTAGGTATTTTTCAAATCCAATATAAAAACACTTATTCTTGCAAAGCAGCATATCATATACGCTGTATCAGCTTTTAATTGCTTTAATTTGGACAATAACATTATTTGACCCCCAGCTTGTTCCAAACCTTTAAAAAGCCGTATTTGCTCCTAAATTTCACACGAAAATAGAAAATCTCTTACGGAAATCATCTGAGTATTGAAGCATAAACGCAGCTTTATGGTCCGTACAAAAAGGCTTGGAAGATACCATAACAATAGTTAACCCAGTTATTATTTCGATGAAATATATCATTTACTATATTGTACAAATTGCGCCAAAATTGACTCTACCCTTGAGAAGCCGATATAAGTTTTTGGAAAGCCTCCACCATATTGTTAAGTGTGTTATATATGTTAATATACTGCATTCACAGCCGCTTGTCTACTTTTTTATTAATTATAGCAAGATATCACAGGATAGTTCATATGTGTTGAGATAGCGTGAAAGACAAAATGGGTGAAGAGAATGGCGCTCAATATAGTCTGAATGTTATCTTTTTTATAACTGCATGTTCTATTATCACACGACACCTTGTAATGTGTATTCGTTTGTGATAACTGGTTCTGAAACAATCTGGCTTTTAACTTTAATTAGTCGTTATTTCGCACGAGATTTGCCGGCAAGTTAACAAATGTCGTTATCAAATCACCGAGCTCCTATATGTTCTCCGGAAAAAGACCTATATTTCTGGCTTTCGATTTGAAAAAGTAGGCGTGTGATGTCAGCTTTTGGATTCATCTACCACAGAAATAAGCCTTTTAAGTATGTCGCGATATCGGACCAGTTAGTATCAACTGTAATATACCAATTCGACAGGCAATCTTTCTTTGGTTTATGGTTGTGGAGTTGGAAAAAAAGGGCTTGGTTTTGTTCAAGCCACAAACATATCTTTTTTCTCGCTCTCTTTTCTAAAAAGAAGCCTTTCGATATTTAGCCCCGGCATAACATGGGTATTTCCATGTGCTATAAATAACGCATGCCAGAAGAAGTATTCAGTAGTGAGTGTGACATCGCATGATATTGCCCGGTCACAAAGTCTGTTGAAGTTTTAACCAGCTCGGTTCTTTGACTGTCGTCTTTATATGCGACAATGAACGAAGAAGCGAGTTCAGTTGTTCTTCTCCCCGAGGTCAAAGTGGAACCTTATGAAACTTCTGAAAACCATGCCGACAGCGAAGAAAGTTCTCTTGAAAGTCCAACAGACGAAAATTCGCTGCCGCGTTTTGGCGAAACTTCGGAAGAAGATATCCAAAGGTTGCTGGAGCACCGTTCGTGCAGCGAAAACACATGGCGAGCGACCAAAAATGCCGTCAAGATTCTCCGAGACTACATGGAGGAAAAAAGCATGGACGTTAACTTTGAGAAATTGGACAAACAAGCGCTCAATGATCTTTTACGTAAATTTTACGTCGAGGCGCGGAAAAAGAATGGAGATTATTACAAATCATCGGCCCTAGGAAGCATACGTTTTGGTATTCACCGGTACTTACAGTCACAAAAGAGGAACATTGACATCAGAAATGATCCTGAATTTACCGATTCCAATAAAATATTCAAAGCGCAAGTTATAAAGCTTAACAAGCAGGGAAAAGGCGAAGTGAACCGTTCCGACATCGGTCCGGACGATTTGAAGAAGCTGTATCTCTCCGATGTGCTGTCGCCATTTAGCGCTGATGGTCTTCAACGGAAAGTGTTTTTTGACCTTCTCATGTATTTACCTGGAAAACGTAACCGCAGCAATGTAAGAGAGCAAACTCGAGACTCGTTTCTTGTCGGTTATGATTCAAGTACTGGTTTGAAGTACATTTATCCAAATCCTTCGCACTGTGAAAATGTTTTTGCTGAAGGAAAATGTCCAAAGATGAATGAGAAACCAGGTAAGCCTAAGTCGAAAGCGCGCGAAGTCTTTTGCCATTTTGTTCATTTTTGTGACGACCTCAAAATCGCCTAACAAACCTAAAAACGAAAAGATTTGGACAACAAAATAACAAGCACAACTTGAAAGCTAAATAAGCAAGCTTAAAGTTGACAAAAATGATATGTAAGTTATGGTTTTCTCACTGCTGTTCTTAACAGTTGTTTTGTTAACCGCGTGGTAATGTCATTATTGTGAATGCCGAAAAGCGGTAGAAAACCGTTTTTGTTTTGTCATTTCCTTTTTTAAGTTTTTTAAAAAGGAAAAACTAGACATCGTTTAGCTTTCGTCGTGTTATTAAGACTCTTTAGACTTACGTTGAACGTTAAGCTTAAACTTTTCATTTTTTTAAAGGTCAAAGCTCAGTGTAAAGGCGTTTTCCCGTTAAACTACCAGTAGTAAAGAATTTCTTACCGGTGATATTCTTTACACACTAATTCCTTTACACAGAAATCACAGAATAACTCCTCAATAAACTTAAGCTTAAATCAGAAGTAATCGCGTTATTTTAAAGGTATCAACCTTTACTAGTTTTAGACTTTTAAACGACTTTTACGATTCATGAAATAAAAGAAGCTCTTATATTCACAAAAGGCAAATGTGGCTAACCAAATTATAATAAAATATTGTTGTTGTACTTCCAATCCTTCACTAGGAAATCCAAGATGTCCGGTTTCATCATTTCTGAAATATCTTTCAAAGTTGAATCCCATGAACTTATACTTATGGCAGAGACCTAAGGCTTCATTTAAACATCATGCTTGTGAAGATGACCCCGTGTGGTACGAGAATGCAGCAGTCGGGCACAATTCTCTGGGTGAGATGATGACCAACATGTCAAAGCTTGCAAGATTATCCAGAGTTTACACCAACAACTGTATACGAGGGACCTATGTGGCAATTCTTGACAGTTTAGTGGAGGACTATCCTCTTGTTACAACCCTAGTGTCTATGCCAGTTTCTCAAAGATACCAACCTATCCTTCCTCGCGAGCCTTGTGATGAGCGCCCAACCATGGTATCAGTCAGTGAGAAGTATCAGCTGCACAGTCCAGATGTGACAGTGTCTTCCAGGGGCAGTGAAATCCAAGAAGGTCATTCCTCACCATTCAGTGTCGTCCAGAGCAGAGACAAAGCCCACCTTACAAAGATCTTCATTGATACAAGCCATTCACTGTCACAGCCCATAAGCCCAAACAACATCAAAACTTCATCTTCTCAGGGGAATAGTCGTAGTTTTAATGAAAAGCAAACGGAGCTGAAACCATCAAGTCCAACAGAAAGCTCTTATCTTGCAATGCAATACTATTCAACCCAAAGGGGATTGCATTCACCCCTTGCACCTTACAGAATGAGTCAACTTCAAGGAGCTTTCTCACATAGCCCACGCACCCCAGCCCAGTCGCTTAATACCACTGAAAGTGAGTACAGCTTATCTCGAGCAACATCGTCATCATCATCATCATCACTAGCTCGTACTGGAAATCACCACTCTGGATATGCAAGGTCAAGAGTTGTTTATTGTCAGACTGCACCAACTATGGCTTGCTCTTCATCACATATAATGGTAAGATCAAATTATTAGTAACCTGTTTTGCAGCCAGACTTGCTACTGAAGGCCTAGAGAGAGGACGCAATATATAGCATATCAGGGATTTAGACTGTCTGCGGCGAAGGCTAACTAATTAGCTGTTACGTGTCATATGATTGACTTTTCGCAGGCTTTCTCATGTTTTCTTATTTCCAGGAAAAAGGCATCACTTAAAAGACTCTAATAAACATTTTTTGCTTCAAACTGTAGGAGAGTTTTGTTGGTCTATTGTTGTGTCGTCACGCAATACAGAAGTGTTGTGTGACGACACTAAGAACTGCTGTTGAGCAGACTATTGTTGGGTGAATTCATCAGAAAATAATATTTCAGTGCTGGTGTTTGCCTGAAATAAAATATCAGTGAATATATGTATGTTATTTTTTCAGCTTAAACCACAAAGCAACCAGAGTCGCATTCTTTGAAACCAATATGAAGGGCACTTAATGAAGGCTAACAATATCGTAGTAAATATTTTGAACATGACAAGCTTTGATTTAAGACATTGCTGGGTTGAATATAATTTGCCGGTATGGACTTTGAGTCCCTAATTAAACCTGTGTCTATGTTATCTCTCATCTTTAAGTTAGTTGTCTCTTCTCCTTAAATTATACCTTTCTCCAAAGTTACACTCTTACCTTGAATTCTGTACAGGACCTTATCATCACTGCACCCTGAGTGAGGAAATAAACATCATTAGGAGGCATACGTTCCTTATTTTGTTATCAGGGTTGATTTAGGTATTGGTCACACAGGAAAACTGGCAGTCAAATTCTTTCTAGACTATCAATCATTTTGAAGCTTTATGGTGCTGGCTATCTTTACTATGCTTTCTGCCTGGAAGAGAAGGGACACCTTGATTAGTACAGCAAATCTAATATTTATAGAGCTAGATCTCTCTTTCATTTTTTAGGGCAGTGGTGTTACAGTTGAAACTTTCTGCCATTATTCCTCCATGGATCCACTGAAAGATATTGATTGTTTAAATGGTGGATGACACTAGCTCAGGGCTATTTACCCCATTGGTTTTGTGGCACGTAACCCAGTCAATAGTGATTTATCTAGATGGTGTTTATTCCCTGGTTGCAATTTAAAGATGTGTCCCTCATGATCCTAATTATAAGAACTTTCTGACCCATTAAGTGATGAGAATGTTCCTGTTCATTTCACAATTTTATTGTTTTAAGTGTGGAGGAAGAAGGATATTGACCGAGAGATGTGACCCTTTTTGTCTCCAAGAAGGAGAAAAGCTTGAATTGATATTGACTGATTACCTCTGTCATGGTGAGGCAAAAGTCGAGTGATTGTGTTTTGTTATCAACAGCACTGTTCGGCTGAAAGAAGCTCAATGTCAGGAAGTCCACTGACCACCCATGTGCTCGACACAGCTCGAGGGGTACCTGCTAGAAACCTACAAGTACAACTGTACTTTGAAGAAATCCGACCAGACAGTCGCATGTGGAAACACATCGCATCAGGGTAAGATCAATATTCAATAACCATTGACAAAAATTTCAGCTGTTATTTAAAAGAATGAAATGTCCTGGGCAGGGGGCTCTTGTTAAAGAAATGGGAAAACCTCATGCACAGGTTCGTCAAACATGCAGACCTAATTTTTAAATCAGAGTATATTATTTTTATTCATGTTCTTCTTTAGATATTATTATAAATACTAGCTGTGGGTGTTGTCAATATATATATTTCCTGCTATGTTTTGATCTGCCCAATTTTTATGGGTAGAAGCACCTTCAAGTTTCTGATCCAGATCTTGACTTAGGGGCTTGGGGAAGCTCCCTGACTGAAATAAAGTGTTTTGGCCCCTTAGCCCCGTGAGCCTAAGTTTTGGTCTTGAAGTAGGTGGGGGAGTCCCTAGGCCGTCCCTTACATCTGCTGCGGTTTTCGACATACAAATTCTTCAGACTGTTCTCTATACATTTTCTTAGAGAATTAGTTGAGACAATTTGATAAAAGATCAAAGCATTTCCCCTTTACTGATAATTTAACCAGTTCTCATAACCATTTCCTTTGATTATGCACCGATTTTGTTTGGAGAAAATTGGTGTTGGTCACTCTTGGGACCTCAAAGGTTAATATCAGACCACTTTACTCGCTGATCACCTCCATTATTTTCATGGTCAAAAGGTTAGGTGCTGCAACAGTACTGCAACATTAATTTAATATACCTTTTTTTTGCAGCGTTACAAATGGCGATGGACGGATCCCTAACTTGCTGACACAAGAGCAGTTTATTCCTGGAAAATACATGATAAGATTTGAGACTGAAGCATATTTCAAAGAGACTGGCATTTCTGCATTCTTCTACCCTTATGTAGAGGTAATAAATCTAAATGTCCCTCCAGGCGTACAAGTAAAGCTACCAGGATACCCCCGTTACTGGTTTCTTGTAGACCAAATTATCATTAAAATCTCTGATTTCAATGCACTATTCCAGAAATTGTACTCGTTAAGGTACACAAGGGTAATCTACAACTCCCCACCCCTCCACCCATGGGGCTCAGTACCTGGGGCCAGTTTTTGGTTGTTCAAAAGATTGCTAGCCCCTTCCAGTGGATAAGTGTTAGTGAAACCATTGCATCATCCACTGAATAGAGTTTTATCTAGTGGATAACATCATTTATGGACTTACCTTTTAAACAACTGGGACCAGAACTTTCAGTCAGATCCGGGACAGAGGTTGCCAGTCAATTTGCCCAAAGTGATTACCTGGGGCCATGTTGTGCAGCAGCTTTAGCAAATTAATAATTAATTTATTTTGAGTCGCATAACTTTTGGGCTTTGACTATAAAGTAGGGCAGGACGTGTTACTCAACAATGTGCAAGAGGCTAGACTATTCTGATAGAATATCAAAACCGTGATACACCTTGTTCCAAAGTGGTGGCAAATTCAGTTGTTCATATTTCTCCATGATAATTGGCCCTTAATGTCTTGTTCCAATGTTAGGGTTTTTTTTATTCTGCACATACAGAGCAATCAAGGCAATGAGGGATAATTGAAATTTGTATGAAAGGAAGGCGATATTGCTGTCATTTTTTAATTAGATGTATGACAGTTTTAGGGTTCCAAATGATTTTTCTTGGGCAAGCAGCTCCCGCATTTTGCTTGTCTTAGTCAATGATTTTTGTAGAGGATGAGTTGTCTGTACCCTTGCCTATTGGACAAATAAGCTTAAGTTACTTGCCCACCATGAAATTCCACTTGTTCCAGACTAGCTGATGGAATTTTTTTCCAGCCCTGTACTTAGGAAAGTACTTAACACTCTTTTTGCCACATTGCTCATTGAAACTTTAATACTTTGCCAGTTTTATGAGAAGATTGGTATTTTTCATTTATCTGTAGATTGTATTCCATATCAGTGATCCTTCTCAACACTACCATGTCCCACTGCTCCTTAGTCCTTTCTCGTACTCTACATACCGAGGCAGCTGAAGACTGGACGGAGAGTGTTAGTACTGACATCTCCAACACTGACATCAGTAGTAACAAGTTGATAACAATGCTAGAAGACATTCCTTTAAATCAGGATCACCAAGAATACTTTTTTTACTCTAGTTTTTCTGTTGTTGTGATTGCACTCTACCACCCAGTCAATCAGTCCTTATCAACAATTGTAATGTCCACTCTCTGGTAAGTGTTCATTCAATGGATTGAAATGGACTGGGCAAGTGGAAGGATTTGAATACTGTGGAGTTTCCATTGTTGATCATAACCTTATAAAAGCTGGTTTAGGGTCAACTCTCTGAGAAACAGACCCCATGGGGACTAGCATTAGGTGTCCATCTTACAACTGAGGGCTGATAGATAACAATTCCACCTATAGCCTGCAAGCAAGCTCTCCATTTGGGGAAGTCGCTTGTGAAAGGAGCTGCAAGACTGGAGGCGGGAAAAGCTGCAGCTCACTTCACTCACCAGAAATGGATAGCTTGCTCCCAGGCTATTATACCTTATAGTCCTACATTATCTTGACTATTGAGAGTACTTCTGAAAGGAATTGAACTTATGTTTCCAGCTGCTCTTGCAGGCTTTATGTTGACAAAAAAACCTAAACAGGTAAACTACATGGTCTTGTCATGGTACATTATTTCACTTTTAAGGTTGCTTGCAGGGGAGGTGAATTTGTAAATAGTGCAGCCAGCCTTTGATGTGGCATCTCTAAATACAGCTTACTGTGTTGTCATTTTATGAAAAAAGTTACACCTTTTTTTCCAGTTGCGTTTGCTCATTATGCATTATTGGACAATAAACCAACTTTTTCCCAGGTCTATGTCTGCATTATTTTAGCCATTCATTTATGACTCCTGGCTTTCCACCCGAGTGCTTTTCATGCACAGTTTCTGCCAGGTTTTAGTCAACTCTTTAACAGAGGACTATTGCTTTGATAGCCAGTCACAGGCGTGGTTGATGCTCTCACTGTAATTATGGTTCATTGGTCACTATCAAGACATTACTGAGACTAGAAACTGTGCATGAAAAGTCTCGGTAAATACCATAATATTCTTAAAATTCCCATTTGGGGATTGCTTCATGAAAATCCAAGTTAATGCAAAAGGCAGGTTAACATTAGGCATCACCACGCTAGTTTAACAAATATTGTGTATTAGTCTCTGGTAAGAGGTATTTTTGGTGCATACGTTTGGTACAACTGTACCACTAAGAACGTTCATGCTAACCACAGGAAGAGGAAAGAAGACAAAAAGACTTTTCAACTGATTTTGTCATTAAAACACAAACACTCGTGTGGCATAGTCAATAACACTTTATTCATTTCACAAAAAGCCCTCACCCTAAATGTTACCCCCCTTTAAAGAACACTCTGTCTGGTCATTTAGACAAGAATTTAAGAAAACTAAAACAGGCACCAACTGTAAGAATGCCGAACTAGAGATAAGAATGCTTAAATAAGGGCCTTGTCTTTCTTGCACACTCATTTGAACCGCAAAAAATATCGTTAAGTCACCATGAAGTGGTAGTTACAAAATTTGAGCTTGTCATATTTCCCTAAATAATTTAATAGCAGAGTTAATTCTGAACCAAAACGGTAGTCACTCAAGGTAAGAATCAGACTCCAAAAGTGACAAAATAATTCTTCTTTTTAACACCGTAAAAACTCTCTGAGAAAACCAGAATTTTTTATGTTACACCTTTAATTTTTCAGTAATATCTTATTAAATAAAACATTTAAAATATAAAATTGTCAGGTTTCTTGGAACATTTTATGTACAACTGTATAAAATTTGAATCTTTTTACCTTTGAAATGACAATAGGGCCATTTATACGAGGAAAAATAAGACGCGAACTTTCCGTATAAACGGCACATTTCGTCTAAAATAAGACGTGGCTTAGCTAGGACGCGTCTTATTAGATAAGACATGGTCGTATAAATGGTACAGTTTGCGTCTTATTTAAGACGCGTCTTGTGTTAGACACGTCTTATTTTTTCTCGTATAAATGGCCCTAATATGTGCACTGGATTAAAACTACATTTAAAGTTCTAGTGATTCATGGGTTGTCTAGAAACATTTCACACTACAGGCGAATCTTTGTTACATTTTTTGCCTCATTAGCATATGCTTTTTATTCTCTGATCAACCTATTAAAATAAACTCTGAATGTCAAAAGAGCATAACAATTTCAGTTGTCAGTGAAAATTTGAGCCTGATATACCAAATAATTTCAGATAAATTTTATTTGAAAAAATCAAAACTTTCTAAAAAATGTACGGGTTTTTAACGTCTTTGCCACCCAGTAATTTTACAGTTTTCAGTGGTACCTATTTCCTTTGTTGTTGCTCGCAAAGAGCTACAAATAGCACAAATTGCTCAAATTAACCAACTGTTTAAATTGTTGAATTCAATATTGTTTGTGCCTACAATGACGCCTCTATGGGTTTACTCGTATGCAAATGAACAAAAATGTAAACAATGACATCAGCAAAGATTCGCTTATGTATTATATAGGTACTAGCAACCTACCAATAATATACAATTTAAAAACAACACTGAACGAATAAAAATGAATGTACTGCCTGCATAAAACCAGTCAATATTTTACACAAACTCTGCACAGTGCCTTTAAGTCTTTCTTTTTCCACAAGCTTCACCAAATCACGGTTCAGCCACAACATTAAGGATGTTGATGCAAGTACACATTTACTATAGTGTATAGCCCCCTGGTTTCATGGAAGGTCATCTTTACTTAAGCAATGAACTACAGCTTCATACGTTAAAAAGATGATTGCTGTGTTCGGAACTTGTCGAAGAAGGTGAGTACCTAGCCCACCATAAAGTCCAGCTCTTCCTTCTTCACGGAATATTTTCCTAAAAGCTTGAAAAAATGAGTGGTATCTTCTCTTTCCGTCCAGCTCTTTTTGTCGTAACCTAGTCCTGATCACTTCATGAGGATACGCTGCCATGGATGCTATGCACTTGGAAGTTGCCGCAGCCATCATATATTGAAAGAAGTCTATAATGTTTTTCTCGCTAGTTCCTCGCACCTTAAAGTGATGTCTTTGAAGTTTAGCTTTGATGTGTTCATAAATAACAAAATGAATGACAGTCTCACTTGTCCCAAAATATGTTGCAGTTAGTCCACGATAAAAACCCTTTAATCCATCTGTCTTCCAAATACTATGAATGAGTTTTGTTATCTGTCCTCTTGTTGTGTTTCTGAAATAATGAACATTACTTATTAGTACAAGTCTAAGCATAAATTCATAGCAAAGAATCTAAGCATGTCAAAGTAACACTATGAGCTAAAAATAATACAATCAATCCAGAAATTGTCCTCACCTTCAAATACATTAAAATAGTTAAATGTATCCAGCTATTTATGATACATCACATTTTTTATGACAATCCCTTTCAAAATAGCATAAAATATACCTATGTTTGTGATTTGACTGGAACGTTTCTACCCATAGGGCAAGAACATCTGAATATCTATAATCGCTAGAGCCATGTGATATACAATGCCTTGCTTTATTAATAATTATTTTGTGAATTAATAATACTGCATTTTATCAATATTCTCCCAGTACTCACTTATTATCAAGTTGAAGTCTTGTTTTCACAACCCAAAGTGGACTAGACAATGTTGAAGTGATAAAACCTATGAAAAAAAGAGCATTTATTGTTAGAGTGGATGAGGTACTGGTTTACTATACAGCAAAAACAATAAAACAGCAAAACAGTGAGAAAACTGTTGAAAACAGAATATTTAAAAGATGGCTATTAAAATTTGTTATTGACTGGGTGGTCTATGTGTTTTTATGTACCAATGATAAACTATGGTATAGAGCCTTTTTGCTCGCATGGCTAGCAAATTTATTAGAGCAAGAGAAAGTTTTTCTCAAAAGAGAAAGGCTCAACTTCCACAAGACTGGTTTGGAAACAGACATGGCTGCCATTTGATTGTTTTGGGACACCAACATGAAGAATTGCACTGGTGTTCTGTAAGGGTATTCTTTACCCAGGTAAGAAACTCAAATCATCAGCAAAAATTATTCCAGAGCACTTCCCAGCTGACAGGAGGCTGACATGATGCAGTCAAATGATAAAGACATTTACTCATTGTCTAAGATTTGGATGTGCCCTGCTGAGTGGGTAAACAATCTCACATGTGTAAATTAAATGATAAGAAAAATTTACGATGCTAACCTGCAGAAAGAGCCGAGCCAATGTGTACAAGCTTGCTGTCTCGAAGCACCACGCCGCTGTTGTTGAGTGCATGTTTGGCATTTGCATACACCATAAAGTACATGGCTCTGGATGGTGCGACACCGACCAGTGTGGGTCCGAGACCTTTAAACAATGCCACGACTCCTTCAGTCTGTATGATGTGTCTTAAGCAAGAAAGGATGCCGACAGGTCTTGTAGGGGAAATCGCCACTGGGATTGTCCATACCCCTGAACCAGTAGCTGTTGGACACAAAACATGTCTAAAAGTGGGCACTGAGGACTAAAAAAAAATAAAATGATTTGTTAGACAATAATGTCACATAATGACAACTAATCAAATTACTTGTCAGATTTCTTGGAAACAATGGGCATCAAGTCCTGACAACAAGTTTCTTCTTGTGACATGGACTCGGCACATTGGCAGTTCTTCCCACAATAAAGGAAACTTGTCAAGGAGAAAAATTCTGCTGTGCAGAGATTTTCACAAAAATTCTACATATTACACAAGGGAATCTCCTCCGAAACTTATCCTTGAGTTGTGTGGTTGAGACATGTCAACTGATCCAATACACCAGACAGAATGGTTTGTCACAAAGACAGGCCACAACAACTTGTTGCCTAATAGGGACCTTTCGACTGAGCGAGAACATGAACTTGTGTCACATGTTACACCAATTGTGTCCCTTCCAGCTTAATGTACTAGTCAGCAAAAAGAGGTGAGACCAGAAACGTCCCCAGAATTCCGACTAATCTCAATCTCGCCTCTGTAGTCTAATCTACAGGTTGCTAGTGTGTCGCAGCACTATAAACAAACATCATACAAATTCATTCCAATATCGAAACGGGCTACGTTTGAAAAACAGCTCGTTCTTGGCCAGAAAAAGCTGACTTTCTTGGAATATAGACAAGCCCTGGCAGTATAGCAGAAATTCTACAACTGTTTATGCATCCGATTTTGACCTTCAAATTGTTTAAATCTTACAGGAACAAAACCTACTACATAACTTTAAGTGTCCAAATACAGAAACAGAACAAAATAAATATGTAGTATTATAAGGAAAACCATCGGCATAAGCATGACCAAATGCATGCATTGCATGCACTCTAGAACATAACATGCAAACTTCCTTGTGTACTGTACATAGCCAGTCACGCTGCACTGAAAACTGTTTTTAGCTAACGAATGTTTCATATCCTACCTGTAATCTCGTCTTTACGACTTCCAGGGGACAAGTTAAAGTAGCACCCACTGTTCCTCCAATCCTAGAGAAAGGATTCAAACTAATGCTTAAATTCTTCTTACAAATGTTTGTATCAGGGGAGCGTTCCCTCAGCACTGAAGCATTTCTAACGAAGCGCGCCAACAGGTTGTAAACAAGACGAATATGAACTATTTGATATTTTAAATGAAAACCTACATAATCACAACAAATGATATGTACAGAATTGCCCTCACAATACAAAATTGAAAGCATAAATTAAATTGGACAACTAAAAAGCGATTATTTCAGAAGAAGTTCACAAAAACAGTGACTTGCTTCGCGTGCCTTGACGTGCACTAAGAAACTTCGTAAATAAGCTTACTTAGTGGCCCCGGTATCTGTTTCAACCTTAAGCATCGCAAATTTAATTAGTTCTTGTACAGCATAAGTTCTTTCTAATATAAGCATCTCCAAAGATCTTTAATACTGAGAACTACTCGAAAACAAGCCACAAACGTAAGCCTAGCCTATAAACATTCAACGTAATGTCCGACAACATGTTGTGGAATAAATCGCTTACTCCAGCGAAAAAACTTTCTGTCAACAACGTACCCTCCTGCCAACAGATGAACATACGAAGAATTTCCAGCGGACATGCTCTTTTTGTCGTGAAAAAAACTGTTTGTACCACGATCCACTTCCAAAGCACTGGTCATTGAGAAGAAACGGACATTGTACTCCGTTGTGTTATTGCGCTGTGTTTTTCCGATGTTGCTTACAACTCCATCACATGGCCATTACACGGGATCGAGTGATAACTTTAATTTGATTGGTCATTCAATTAGTTTCACGTGCTCCACATGCATTGATTTCCCTGTCTTTTGGCAAAAGTTCACGACTTACCACGTGAACATCGTGACATTTTCCTACTCAATAGGGGAGGGTAATTTTTCTGGTTTTGTTCTCGGTTGTCGTGATTTCGTGAGCAAATGCTCACACGTGAATATGCCGTCTTAGAGAAAATTACCTCAACAGTTTCAAAGTGCTGCCTTTTACAAGAAATATTTTTGCATTTTATGTAAATTGTTTTATGTGTAAAAGTGCCGTTGTTTTATCTACTTTGCGAGTGATGGGCGTGACTGGGGGTGAGTTTGGGGGCAGCCGGGGGGTAAGTCCTTCTGTTGGGCGAGGAGCCAAAATCAACCCAGATTGCTCAAAATACCACACGACAAATTTAGCGTAACTAAGGTAATACAACGGCTTGTCTTCCTTGAAAATACCCTGTCTCCAGAGGTCCGTTCTTCGCCGCGAACCATCAGTATCGATACGAAAAAAATATCCTCTGGAACCCAGGGTACTGTGAAAATGGAAGAACGTAAGAACTGCTTACGTAGTTTTTCAGACGTAGAATGCTGATCCAACTGATCACGTCAAGTTTGTGTGTTGAGAAAATCCTTGAATGTGATTGGTTACTTCCCACGCCACAGGATTAACGAATATTTTTTTATCTATCTAGGCCAAGCACGGAAGAATAACTACTGCTTGAGGTTTGGTAAACGAAAATCAAGACCATGAGTCAATACTACTCTAGTTTTCATGTATATGTTGTACAAAAACATAAACCACTGAGTACGCACTCAAATAATTTGATAAGTAGGTTGAGTATGATCGTACGGGTGAACATAGTCCGGCCTGAATGGGACTGTAATTGACAGTGACTGACGTTTCGACAACCAAACAATTTGGTTGAGAATTTCCTTTGTTTCTTAAAAATTTAACTTTTCATTTAAAAAAACGAAATTCTGGTTTAACCTGAGAACGGATATTAAAAATATTACTGACATATACAATAAAGAATACACTGAATGGAATTCGTGACTACTTTATAAGCAGGAGCCCATCACCTCCTGGTATTTACTCGAATAAGCGCCGCATTTGGGATCAAGAAGTTGATAGCACCGCTCTCGAATAAGGGCCGCGGCCCTCAAAAGACGTTTTATTTCTGCTGGTTTTTACGGAAAATAATAATTAAACCCCTTGTTAATGCAGTTCTTTATTGCGTTCAACTTTCAAATAAACGCCGCCCTCAAATAAGCGCCGCACTTGAGGAGCACCACGGCGCTCACTTGAGTAAATATGGTTTAAAAAACAATACACATTGTTTGAAATCAGCATTGCAGTAGTCTTTGGACTTCTCGTTCTTGGTTCTTTATAGTTTGGCTGATTAGATCTCTTTCCTAGAGATCCAACGTTTACAACTAGCAGGATCTTCGTCCACGGTTTTTGCAGTTAATTTAGTCCTTTATTATACGGTACTGTTTTTTTCTGTTGTAGGATATTTGTCATCACTGAGATACATAGTACATAATCATATATGAAAGACATTTACAAAAATGAGGAGACAGAGAGATAACAAGAAAAAGAACTTTTAAAAGACAACAAACAAACAAAAACAGTTATACACATATTTGAGTTCCTCTCCTAAGATAATATTGATGTCAAAATTTGACAATCAGTGAAATAACACATCAAATAGACTATCTTTAATCCCTACTGAGATATTTATTTTGTGCCTTTTAACAGCTTATCAAAGCGTTTTTTGTTTTTGTTGCAAAACGCCATTGTCATTTCAACTGCTTTAAGGGCTTTAAATAGTTCAGAGATTGACAAATTGATTTATGTCCATGATTGATTGGGAGTTTGTAGTTGCCTTTGTTATTTGGGCGAAAAACTTAACTGGACCGGGCAAACTTAAGCAAATTTTGACTAAGGTAAGAACTCCTCTAAATGTCTCTAAAAGGTAGTTCAGGATACTGGGATAACTCTATGTAG